CTTCTCATTGATATATCTCATCCTGTATACCGTTGTCATCAATACCGTCAACTCTACCGGAGATTTGGACGTTGTTGAAGGAATCCTCTATGTCATGACCTTGTCCTACATTTGTGACGAGCTCACCAAAGTCTGGAAGGTTGGAAGGGACTACATCGACTTTTGGAACGCATTCAACTCGACTCTTTACATCATCCTCGCGGTGTCATTCTTCCTCCGTATCGCCGCCCTTACGCGATCGAGCTCCGTCAACGACCCACAGAGGACAACACTCAACCAGCTGAGCTACAATTTTCTGGCCATGGCAGGACCGATGTTTTGGATGCGTATGATGCTCTACCTCGATACATTCAAATTCTTCGGCGCCATGTTCGTTGTGCTGAGAGTCATGATGAAGGAGAGCTTGATCTTCTTTGCCCTTCTTTTTGTCATTATTGTCGGGTTCTTCCAGGCGTTTTACGGAATGGCCGAGGCAGACGGCCAACTGGCTCTTACCAGGGGTATTATACAAGGCATGGCGAACAGTGTCATGCAGAGCCCGGATTTCGGTGTATTCGAGGACCTGGCGTTCCCATTTGGTCTCGTCCTCTACTATTTGTTCAATTTCATTGTCATGATTGGTAAGTTGGTCGGCTCCCAGCACGACCGGGAAGTGTTTTGCTGACGGGGAATAGTTTTGCTCAACATTTTGATTGCACTCTACAATAGCGCTTATGAGGATATCGCCGGCAATGCTGTAGATGAGTATATGGCGATCTTCGCTCTGAAGACAATGCAGTTTGTTCGGGCACCAGACGAAAACGTCTTCATTCCCCGTGAGTCCTCCTATTTTGCTGCAGACACCGCATGAACTAACGGCGAGCCTACTAGCGTTCAACTTACTCGAAATCTTCTTTCTGGTCCTCCCCTTCGAGTGGTGGATGCCGCGCGAGTACTACGCCAAGCTAAACGAGGTCATCATGGGTATCATCTACTCACCAGTCTTACTCATCATCGCGACGATTGAGGTCCGCGAGGCACGCCGGATCCGGCGAAATCGTCGCCAGGGAGAAGAGGATGATGATGTTGTTCACGAGTGGGAGGATGCTGCTGAGGAAGTTGACTTTGACTTGGACGACACCTGGAGACAGGCCGTGCGGGAAACCACCTCAGATCCGAATGCAGAGAACTGTACTTTGGAGATCATACAGCTGCGGGAGCAGATCAAGGAACTCACAGCTGTGGTTCATGCATTCATTGAAAAGAAGAATATGGCGGAGCGCATGAGGGAGGAATCAAGTTTCAATCAAGCTGACGCGGAGTAGGATTTGTGGCATAGGATAGATTTATTTGGTGTGATTTTGTTTGACGCTTTGTTGGTGCCTTTGTTGATATGATGACAATCTCACTGTGATTTTTGACTATGTACCTTGATATCTAGATTGTATGCTTTCCATACCTGGCTTCATAAGGTGACATAATTCATCTCTACAAACTCTGTGATTCACGACGAAAGCTTAAGATATTCAACTGTCATGTTGACGTGTGTTTGTATACTCCCATGAGCAAGTAAGTGGATTACGTGACTGTCCCTGAACCATCCCCGCACCTCCCCTTAAATCAACGACAAACACTTCTCCAACCTTTCCTCCTTATACATCAACACAGTCAATCTACACTAGTAGCATGTGGTGTGTTACCAACCACAAGACCGCTAAAGGGCAGTCTTGCCAGTGGGGAAACTTGCAATAAACAGCTGGATTCCATGCAACAGCATGACTGACAACTCCCCCACCGTGCTGTATGCAGGAGAACACTTGGATACTGTCGCAGGATTCCCAACACTTTACACCTTCAGTCCCGCAAATCGCGACAATCCCCTGATTGTGTTCATCCCGGGTGGCGGTCATAATGCTCGCATCTCATATGGCGGCCATCCCGGAAGTCGCAGGGAGGACTTCCTGGCACACTGGCTAAACACACTGGGCCACGGCCTTCTTGCCATCTCGTACCCGCTCCAGAGCGAGCCGGACGAGATCATGGCTGCAACAGCACCAGAATTTCGTATTCGTGATTGGGGCCTGCAAGCAGCGGAGGTAACGAAAATGGTGATCGAGAGGCACGGCCTGTCGCCCAAGATCGTGCTTGTCGCTTGGAGTATGGGCGGCCGGGTAGTGGTTCCGTACACGCAAGCAGCAAAGGCACGGGGGCTAACAGTTGAGCTATTCGTGAGTCTCGCGGCTACTCCTGGACTCGCTGGTTCTCGGTCCATTCCCGCTGGTATCAGAATGACGTCTGAGGGGTATGCTGCACTCGACATGATGTCGGAGCTCTTCCTGGACCAGGTCCATGAGCAGAATGGACTGAACTCCCGTGTCATTATTCCGGACGATGTTTATCGCCGCGGCTACTATGGTCATACGCCTGTCGGCTTGCTCGGCTGGGACTTGAGCTATTCTCAGGAGGGCGGATTTGTTGAAGATCGTTATACCTCAACGGAAGATGCCGATGCGAACAACTTTCGCCAGTGGCCGTTGATCTCTGCTCTGCACGGTGACAGCATTCTGGATGGACGGCATGTACTTGCGGACAAGGCAACTTGGGCATTCATGCAGGTGCAGCGGCTCGTGAGTACTCTCGAAGGTAGAGGCTACAGATCGTTGAGCCTTGAGCGTTGGGAGGAGGTTGTCAAACTGGTCCACTCACGGCCGGAGAATATGTGCCGGCAGATTCATGGTAATCACTTTTTCTTTCTGGGCGAGCCGGGCGCTCGAGAGACTGCGGCTGCGATCGTTGAGTATCTGAGGGACGCTCGGATCTTCATGTCCACTCTTGACTCTCTGCTTGTGTCTTGAAGTCACTTGACAGCAATTTCTTTGATCTTCTAGGACATTCCTTGGCTGCAATCGCCTCTGCTTCCTGTCAGGGACTGGCCCCTTTGAGCATGATTTACGAGGTCGAGGTCGTCGCAAATACGGACTACTTGTTCTGTTTCGGTCTAGAGTTGCTGCATCGGGGGTTTGCAGCTTGGGCTTGTTTGCAGACAATTACGATACCTCAGCAATAACACAGCCATGCGTTGACAGCGGTCGTCGATGCTGGTAGTCATGATAAAGAAAGAGGCACAAAGTTGCGGAGCAAAAAAGAAAGCCGAACGCGGGGGTCGAACCCGCAACCTTGAGATTAAGAGTCTCACGCTCTACCGATTGAGCTAGCCCGGCTGCTCTTGTTGAATGCCGGCTTTGTTTTTGCCACACAAGGAAATTATAACTGTAGTAGTCTAATTTAGCTAGTTTGGCTTGCAGTTTGATAGTGGTAGGTAGTCTCATGTTAGGGTACTATAAAATCAACCACTATGTATAATACTTTACCTGTGTTAAGCATTTATATTTCACCCTGGCTGCGCCTGCTGCGCCCAAGCAATACCAATTCTGAGTGGAACAGAAATATTGAGTACAACCCTAAGTAGCGCTATTCATCTAATCCAGACCCTACTCTTGTAGTGAACAGGCTACAGAGGAAACTGAGATCTACATCCTTGACGCCAAGGGCTGTATACTAATGATTCACCAACCCTATTTATCCGTGAGACAAGCAATTGTTCGTACACTCTGAAAATTCTCTAGACTTCTCGGAATAGAGGCGATGGCCGGCATGAAGCCATCTAAAGTCTGGCTCTCATTCAAGAGAATCCTGCCGAGGCCTTGAAATCCAGGGATGTGCCAGCATTACTAACCAGTGCTATAGTTGACCCTCAGCTTCTCAAACCAGCCGTTGCTGGGGGATTGAATGCTATATTGGCTCCAATCCAAGACGCATACTCGGCTTCCAAAGAATGGCAGAAGATTGCCCTGAAAGCATACCGGCCTCCAACAAAGGAGAATAGGATCAAGGACTGAAGCTAGGTAGACTAAAGAAGCACAGAAAGAAGAAGGCGATAAGCATCCTTTTGCTCTATTTTCTCTCCCTTATGCAGTACACATTGTAGCTCTATAAGATTCTTTTGTATTATAATATTGAATGATAATATATTAGACTTCACAATGCGTGCCAAATACAAAACATCTAATCTTGTCTTCCCTTGAGTAGCCGCTTCGTCACCTTGTCTTTCTCTATGATGTATACTAGAGTCTAAACACTGGAGCATATAAGGCTACTGACGGCCTTATTTCAACCCTCTGTCCAGCTTGAACAATAGCCCAAACGATACTACCTAGGTTGAAGGTGGAGACATACCTGAAAAGCTGGCAGATGTACCCCTCGGGAACTTCCATGGAAGAAAGCTGGTTGTCGTTAATGAAATTAGGCATATGTGCTTTGACGAATGGATGATCCGTAGATACTCACAAACTACTAACCTTCTAGTAAAAGATAAGCACTCCTCGGCGACTGGGAGGAACGCACAATGTTGGAAGGTCAAAACCAGCGCATAGTCTCACAATGCCAACTGCATTTGCAAGAGATGCCGAGAGAAGGACAACAGGTGTAAAGAAACACGTTTTGGTTATTTTAAGGTTTGATAAGGTAACTACGTTAGACCAAGGCTAAGCTGTGAAGAATGACCGCATTCATATTCCACCGCACTCTATTGCAGACGCAAACGGAAGTTGAACATCTCCAGTCAAGCTGCAGATACGGATTCCTCGGCAGCAATACGACTGGTGAGGGTGGCTAGCTGAATAAATCAAAGCAAGCATTTCTATGCAAACTCAGCCAGCCTTACGAGATCTCATTGTTTTTCTCGGTGGTATAATCCAGTCCGAGAAACATGCTTTTAACTAGATGAGGAATCTAGACTAATGCGGATAATAGCAGGCCAAGGTGGCATATGAGCTGAAATAATCCACTGCTGCGACCGACAAGGAGAAATAAAGCGACTTGGTATTATGATCCCTTATCCAATCAAGACAGGGTCAGGAGAGGGGTTCTCTCACCCCGCATATATAAGGAGCCACATTATTCTGGACTGAGCTGGCATATCAGTTTCTCCTGCATGCCTGGATTAAGAGACTCTGCCCGTCATGTCCGAACCTAACGTTTTCTTTGATATATCTATTGCCGGGCGTAAGTTCCTCACATCACTGGGATTCCATTTCTCCTCTTAATTTGGCTCTTTTAGAACCTGCTGGTCGCATCATATTCAAGTTGTTTGATGATGTTGTTCCAAAAACTGCAAAGAATTTCCGCGAATTGAGCACTGGTCAACATGGCTTCGGCTATAAAGCCTCTCCCTTCCATCGTTTGATCCGTGGTTTCATGATCCAAGGAGGTGATTTTACAAAAGGCAACGTGAGTACAGCTTCGACTACAGTGATATTAACTAAGGTCATTCTGTAGGGAACTGGCGGCAAATCCATCTATGGAGACCGTTTCGCAGATGAGAATTTCAAATTGAAACATGACAGACCTCGTCTTTTATCCATGGCCAATGCAGGGAAAGATACAAATGGGTCTCAATTTTTCATCACGGTGAGCCTGGATTGCTTGGTTATTTCATTCATATAAATTGCTGATAAACATTGGGAAGACCGTACCGGCTGGCTGGCTAGATGGCAAGCATGTGGTCTTTGGTGAAGTTGTTGACGGGTGGGATGTTGTGGAGAAAATTGAAAGCCTGGCTTCTGCTACTGGTACACCTAAGATGAAAGTAGTGATTGCAGATTGTGGAATAGCTTGAGCAGGAGATTATTCTCATTAGCAGCCTAGGGTGCTAGATGCTCAGGGCTATCAATAACAAGAGCCTGACCTCGGCAACTTCACTGGCAACTTCCACGGGCTACTGTGTCTGAACGACTCTTAGGACACGTTTGAATGCTCTGAATTTATATCATTTGATCGCTGGACTCTAAACTGCGGTTGTGGTGGTGTGCAGGAAGTCAGCTTGTAACATAAAAGCCAACAAGGTCTTATACTTGGACCAAAGTATGAGCGGATTGAATGGTCAATAGAATTTTCTCATAAAGCATTTAGTGTCTATCCCTTCCAACAAGAGCAGCCGGGCTAGCTCAATCGGTAGAGCGTGAGACTCTTAATCTCAAGGTTGCGGGTTCGACCCCCGCGTTCGGCTTTCCTTTTTCTTTTTTGCAGTCTCAGCGGAGACGTTTTTGGACCAGAGTGTAAATTAAACCACTTCTGATTGATCTTTTACCACTGTTCATGACAAGAAGCAGGGGTCGTTCCATTTTACACTAGAATATGAGGACCTGTGAAATCAACGCTGAAAATGACTGCTACTAAGGCTATAAATGGCTGCATTTCCACCTGTAAGTTCCCTTAGCAAGCTACTACTTTAGTATTTAAGCAGTGCTACACACCACTATTCTGCACCCACTAAGCATTGTTTAGTCACCATCCTAAGATGCTAAACCTTAGTAAGCATCTACTATTTCAACTTATAATAATAAATAATACTAACAATGGCCTCCTCTGCAGCCAGATCCAGCTCCCTTAAATTTAATAAGATTACCTATATACTATATAAAATAGCACCCATCCTTACTCCTTCCTTTTCCCCCCTAGCACTTTCGCGCCTTCTATATTAATCTATAAAGTTAATCACTCTCATTGGATATTGTTAAGAGGTTAAGTCGGCCCTCTGAACCGCCATTATTATTCAAGTCCCTACGTAAACTGCATCAAATAAGGAGGTAGTATATCTAAGAAAGCATCACACCTCCGGTTCTTTGATTGGTTATCTCTCTGATCATATGTCTCCGATTACAATATCTCGGTCCCAGTCTCTCCCGTATATTGAACTCAGTGGATCCTGCTTTTTTTTTTTTTTTTTTTTTTTTTTTTTTTTTTTTTTTTTTTTTTTTTTTTTTTTTTTTTTTGTTTTTTTTTTTTTTTTTTTTTTTTTTCTCGCTCAGCTTTGCTATGACTTAATACAACTCATATTCCATGTTGGATGTCTTAACCCACCCGATGCTTGCCCATAGCATCGCCGTCTGCATGACCTTCTACATCCTCTCCATCGGAAATATCGCTATCAGCGCTTCAAGTCTATCGAAACCTGATTTAACAATCGCCCGCTAGCCATCTGCCACGGCAGACTGGGCCAAGGGGGTTCTCGCTATACAATAGCACAGTCATTCGATCCCTTCCTGTCAAGATATGAATAAGGAGTCTCCATAGGGACTTGATAGATAAGACTTGACTAACTAACTAACTATAGCCGACTTCACCTCTGTCCGGAAAAGTGTTAAGTCGAGCCGTATGCATAACGAGTCTATCAATAACACTTTTGAAATCGTCCAGGAAAACAACGTCCGCGGCACATTTAAATACGATGTATGGCTGCTCATCAGTTAGCCGGGTTCTTTGTCTTTATGGAGACGCACCTTCCAAAAGGGATTGACTCCTTCATTTCCGAATACATGGCTAACAGTCACAGCTACATCCACGACCATGAACGCGATCGAGATAAGCATGCATAAGAGCAGTATCCCAAATCGTGGACTGATCCTGACCAATTCAATTGATGTGAGATCGTAGCCTCTTTTGATACTGTACATCAACCAGCATGCGGTGAAAATCCACCAGCCGTCTCTAAGGAATAATCAGAATCGCTGCATCATGAGCCGGAAAAAAAAAAAAAATAGAGGTTTCAGACACGGAATCCCATACCTTACAACAACTTCCCAGGGACGAGTAAAGGCGAAAGAGTCGTTGCCGAGCCCGTTGAAGTATTCGAAGTTCAAGTAAATCTCCGCAACCCAGTATGGAGTTACCAGTATCACAGTGCTGATAAAGACTGCGCTAGCCAGTCGTGATAGAAAGGGCTTGATCTTCATCCACGAGACTATGTTATGAATGAAGTAAGATATGTACAGCAACGTGGCCGTAGAACTGAGATACCTATCTACACGTTAGCTGTGATTTTTTACAGATTCGGTATTCCCTGTTGACTCACCACCCGTACGTTGGATCGGCGCAAAAGATGAAGGTCCCATGCCCCAGAGAAAGGACAAGCTGAATTGTTCAGCTCCAAAGCTACCTGATCAAGGGAGTAGATGGCATACATACCTCTAAGAGGATCAGTTTATGCAGAAGCACGCCTTTTCGAATATTTGCCAGCGTGATCATAATTAGGATGATCAGCCCTCCAACAAGGAATCCTTGGCTCCATGCCTCCAGAATAACATACTCCAACCCCATGGCCGCTCGGCCATGCCTAATTGGACCATCCCGGCCCACGCTCCGGCTCATAGTGTCGGTCTGATCCTGGAGTGATTCCCAGCCGGCATGGCCACTGTGCAACTCTTCGTTCTTGTATTTTACCTCTCCTCCGTAGCAAAAGCCTATTCAGGTTGAAGATAAAACCGGCTCTATTGAGATCGTGGACCCACTGCGGAAGGAGGAGGGCTCCGGGTGAACAAAGCCATAGAGCTGGATCATATAAGAACCTCCATCGCCTGGTAGCCAGATTTAAAAACAGGGGTTTGCCTCTCGGACTGATTGAAGTCGTGGAGATTTACACATTCGTTCAACCATTGGTCCATGTACCGTTTAACTTTCTATCTACCGAGGGGGAGAACCTTCCGCGGTTCACGAGACGCACTCCCAAAGCTCACTCTTGGCGTCGACACGCGATCGCGACCATGCTTGAGAAATACGGCGCACATTGATTTGGCAGACCAGCGGGTCAAGCGGTTTACGTAACCTCAAAAGAGTTCTTGGCTGATGTTTCGTGAGTGGGAAGGTTTAACTCTAATCCCCGCCAAGCGCTTCCGTTGATACTCCCGTTGGCCCCTTTGGGAGATCAGCATGTTAGATTCGGAGGGTGTAGACGGACCAACACACATGGTACCGGATCTCTTTCGATAAACCCGATGTCTCCTTATGCTCTCTGCAATTATTGATTGTTAGGCTGACGGATAGTAATGAGACACCCCTCAGGACCGGTTTATGTAGCCCATCGCCATTGAAAAGAATGCCGTCAGGCCGTTGACTTGGACCTGCCGGAGATCCGGGTGCATGAACGGGAACGAAAGCAGATAATCAGCGAGCTGGAATTCCCGTATTCCATGCACAGCGCAATGAAGCTCTCCCTTTTCAAGGTAAGTATCGGGGCAAACCCTGGCATTTGCAATGGAGATCAATATAATCGTATAGACCAGCTCAATCCCCACAATGCCAGAAGGATAGCGTCTCTGTCCCAATGTAGGAAGAACCAGCTTCGCCTTCGCGATTATATTTTGGAGGCAACATAGCTGCGTCTGTGTCCTTGAGTTCACTCAGTCGGCGTTTCTGTAAGACCGCTGACGACACCTGATATATTAGAGTCGCGGGAGGTAAACTCGAGATCGGATTAGCTGAGGCAATGTCTCCTAAACTCAGTCAGGGGTGGTCCATAGTGACTTCAAATAGTGAGTAAGCTTCTTTAGACTATAGTAACTCAGAGCTATCCATGTTTATTAAGTAGAGCAATATCATCATAGGTGGGAAGGTATATATATACTAAGATAGCCACTTACTTCGGCAAACAGACTCACAAGCCTATTTAGAAGGGAAATATTCTATAACAGAGGACAGTATTCTAAGAAAGTAAACTGAAGGGTGCACAGATAGTTAGATGATAAATCTATGCCTTTCTTTTCATGCTTAATTTTTCTAATTATGTATTTAGGAACCCCTTTGTTGATCCACTGCCTTATTTCCTATGTAAGCTCTTGTGTAGTGTTGAGTGCAGGTAACTATATAATATAATTGATTGACTTTGCTGCATGTAGCTGTTTACAGTATGTTAAATGCAGACCACACTTTCCTATCTACTTGATCCTTGAACAGCGACTTAAATGTGGTAGCATGGGCAATGTAATTGAAGAATGGAACCACATAGTTTGCAAACTACCATTAATACCACAGCACCAGGTTAATATGCACATCCTCTAACTACTACTTGAGATATTGTATCAGATTGTTGAGAAGGTATATTCTCTCTGCCATATTAGGAGCCGGGTGCTCTTTCTAAACTGAACTTGATACTAGCTGGATTATAAGGAGCTCTGGAGTCTTTATAGTTGCTTACTAGCCCTCTAAGTAGTATTAGTACCTTGTCTGTTCTGCACTATCAAAATCAGATTTAATTAAGACCTACCAGAGTTTGTTAACTCTCATCTAATATCACCTTGTCTTCGGGAGGCGTTGACCCGATGGTCTTCCTATATTAAGATACTTGAGATATGGGCAGATGAAGATCTGATAGAGCTCTAGTTTTTCTGGCTCCTAACTTACTTTTAGAATCTCAGGACTGTTAGGAAAGTTTTCTTATAAAGCCTAAATTATCTATGCTAATATAAGTGCAGGATATATTATCCTCTAGCTGTAATAAGCCTCTAATAACTACTAGCATATATTGCCTGCCTGTTATTAGTAAGTACACTGTGTGTTGACTTTATATCTCCTTAAATATAGAGTGGGACTCTGAAATTTAATCACCTTTAAAACTTATGCCTCTCTTGTGTGGAACATAAACCTGGGCTATATATTCTTCTATTATTGCTATTACTAGAAACTCTATCCTTAAACTTTTGCTGTTATTGCCTAGAGTATCTAAAGAATAGATGAGGGCCTTGTACTAAAGTTTAATTTGATGAGCTACCTTAGCTTGTCTACCTGTCTGTCTCTAGAGTACAAAATATAAATGTTATCTGCTTGGGAACAGTGTACTAACTATTAAAATTACATATAGATAACTCTAATGGGTTAATCTTGAGCGCGGTCCTTGCCTGTGTTAGTATATACTTAGAGGAGATATCCATCTTAAACTATGATTTTAACATTAATGCTTCTGTTTCTCTAGTGGCTAACTCTAGATTGAAGTTAGTAAGAATATTTGATTCTAGAAGTAGCTTGTGTCTCCTATATCTAGCTGAGATTCCATCAACTGCATGCTTTGATAGTTGAATTCATCCTAATGATTTTGAGTGACTAGAAGATTGGCTATGGGTTATGTGACTGCTGAGKAGCCACTGTATTATTCTTAGTTTGAATAGCTATGAGGATCTTTAACTACCATTAAATAAGGCTATGAAATGTCCAGCTAGAGCAAGGTGACTAGCTATGGTTATTAGCTTGCCATAGAGGCTGCTTGCGTCATAAAGAATTTGATGATTATATAATGGCAAACTTCATTACCCTGGAAGATTTCGCTGCCATCGGAGGTCAGTTGCCTCCTAAGGATAGTGACTTGCAGAAATAGAGAATGTAGTTGAATTAAGTGACTATGGTGTAAATAAGAGGGCTTTTCTTTTTATGTAAGGTTGATATATGCCCACTAGGGAATCATGGCAAGATAATGAATCCATAACTAACATTACTGCTATTAGTTTATATACATTACAGTACATAAATAATAATGCAGATATAGTAGTATTTAGGGCTTCCTTCTAACACACAGTGATTATACTTTAGATAGTAGATTCTTCAACTAAGAAGGGATGTCTATACCTGGCATTTGGCCGCTTTATCTAAATGAAGATTTCCAAATTGCTAATTCTCGATGGTAGAGGATCAGCCTTTTGCGGCGGCAGCCAAGTTAACCAGCCAGAACTCTTCATTCCCTGGGTAAGAACGGGGACTATCGTCAGGTTCCGTTGCAGTAGTACTTGCCTCATTCTAAGCTTAATCAAGGTTGACGTGCGAATTGCAGTGACGGTGGCTATGTTTAAATCCAGTGAGCGTTGGGCACACCCGCCGCCAGACAATCAGCGACAATACCCTAAATCCAGTGAGCCCTCAAAGCTCCGCCCCTTGTGGGATAGAGTTCTATGAGCACCCGTTTTCTCTACACATCTTATTCTTCTCTATACACTCTGAAGCTATGCCGCCTTCACACCCATCCGCGTAAGGGTGGAGCGAACAGTAACCCGACCCAAAGTTTGTGCAAGCCATCTCTTTGTACGGCCACCCCAGGGCTAGGCAACTCTGAGCTTTGGGACACTGTGCTTCTTAAACTTTGCAGACCCGTTCAATATCCGGTACATCGGGGTTTGGTGGATTGACTGTTGGCAATGTGACTGTCAGATTGATAGGCGTTAATATAATTCTGCCCAGAAGAGTGAAAGCTTAGGAGACATAGTGCATGAGGGAGTTGACATCATATTGATATTTGTAGGTTTTGCCTAGGCTACTAATAATGTTAAAGTTGTGTACATTACCACAGCAGCCAGGTGGGGCCCTAGGACAGCAGTCAGCACCAGTGGGTATGGTGGCTAAGCCTGTGTAACTAGGGGATATATTTGCACAGTGGTAATTGACTGTTCTTTCATAATCAGAGTGTTAATGTTCATGAAGAAGACCTGAGCACACGGATTTGTAAATATACAGTAGTGTATATGGCAATATATTTAATACATTGAAAGGGTAGGCAGAAGGAACCTACTAAGTATATAGCTAAACTCATGGGTTGCTTCGTCTGGGCCGCAGGAACCAGTACATGCTGTACTAGGCTGCTGTAGGTTTATTTATAGAGGTATAGTAGCACTAAACCCAATATTAGCATTACAACCTCCGCAGTCATTTGATGAGACAGTAAGCACTCCATTAATAGGTGAGACACTGTTGGGTAGTTGCTGAAAGGTCAAATAAGGGCTCACCAATTGCCAGCAGGCAATTATGGTGTTGATGATAGCTGTAACACTGGCCGCAGTACTGGCTGTGTTGTACTTGTACATAACTGTGGTGTTTGGCCAAGGTTGTTTGACAGAAAAAGACCGGAATTCACTACTTAATAAGAACAGCAAGGGGACATTTCTTAGATACTGGAGGTCCCAATGCAGGCGATGTTTACAAGACAGCGTATCAGGAGACCATACCCAAAACGGCAAAACTAACCACAAAAGGGAATTCACAGGTCCTTGCTTTACATCCCACATTCAGCGCAGTGCGTAGTGGGTTTATTGTTGCTCCAGCCTGTGATGACTCGTGGCTTGCCGTGCCCTAACAACCAGCCAGCCAGATAACTGGCGCAGCCACCACCTTCCTCCCTACTACTTTTGTAGGGCTAAGTTTGTGCCAATTCACTGCTCGCCCGTCTTGTCCAAGTTTGTAACGGGGATACCCATTCCATGAGCAGACGACTTTCAGCAGGTAATGGTGCATGGTGAATTCTTCCCGGGAACCTCATTGACGGTAATCGTATTCCTGGCTAGGCTGGCGGGTCTGAAATGGAGTCGTAAATGATCAATAACTCAGGAATCTCTTGTTCGATACTAGAGCATATGGGGGGGTCTGCCGTGGGCAGGGATCAGTCGGTGCATTTTGTTGAGGAGTAGACTATATTTTTAGTCTTGCAGCTGTAGATGATCATATGGAACTCTTTCGTATACAGGGGTATTGGGTAGCAAAAACATGTCGTTGACGAACACCCCGTACGACGCCATAACTATCTAGTTTCAAGCCAGCTCTGACCAAAGCCCAACCCCCGTCCGGAAAAAAAGTCTCCCACTCAAAATCAGGCCCAAACACTTCCATTCCCGCCGCCGCCAGTCCCGCCTCATCGCGCGACGCCATCCGGCTGGGCCCGATATCCTTCCTCGTCTTCAGAAGATTATCGCACAGCTCCGAGGTATCCCTCGCGGCGCGCGCAACCCACGCCTCAACTTTCACCCCACCTCGACCGCCTCGGCGTGCGCGAGGATCATGTGGGTGTACGTTGTTTTTAATGTTGCGGGGCGTTGTTCTTGTACTGGGTTGCGAGGATGCCCAAGGGTAAGAAGTTGGCAGGATAGGTAGGCATCTGTTTCTGCTATCATTGAATGGGTTGTATAGTAGTCTATGTGGTTTCGAATCGAGCATCTCGTCTCATCTATGCGGGTATCATTGGCACCATCACAAGGACTGAAGAACCCATAAATAATCGCCTTGTTGCAGCCTGCAGCAGTTTATTTATTGAGCCTAGTTCCTGCCTGGAGGATAACTGTCGATTTGACTCAGCCATAGGGACTAGATATATACAAGATGAGGCATCTATTCCGGACTAGTTGTAATGCGCACGACATTTCCCATGCTTGTGTCCATGTTTGTGTCCTTGATGACCGGGCTTCTGGCCGGCTCCGGTGGGACGCAAGCTTGGCTGGAGGTCTGCAGAAGCTGCAGGAGTACCCGTTGGGTGAGAAGAGGTCGAAGGAGAGGACTGAGGCACAGAAGGAATACTGCTTCCAGCGACACTCGTAGACGCGGCTGATGCCGTGGTTGCCTTTGCGCCAGAGGGTACGGCGGTAAGACTCGAACCAGGCGTACTCTGCGCTAGCGCCATTAAGGTCGGTTTGCCAGACAGCGGAGAAGCAGTCGGTGTGCTTGCACTAGAACTTGCAGCCGCGACGTCCGACTCATCCAAGCGATGTAGCAACGATCCCCAGCCGAGTCCATCATAATGGCCCGATCCCTCGCCCCAGGACCCTGCGCCGCCCTCTGCACCCTTATAATAGTTCAAAGACTCGTTGAGGAACAGTGTCGTCCAGGGTGCATCCATTCCCTTGATCATCACGTAGTGGCTATGCAGCAGCTCCCAGGTAGGCCGCATCGCGCCGCGAGACGCACTGCTGATTTCCTTGAAGTTGACGATGCCGTTGGTGTACGGAACGAACGGGACGTCGTGGCCGAGATTATACCGCGCAAAGTACTCTGTTCTATAGATCCATCAGTCGTAAGCGGAAGAAGAAGGTACTGAACCTACTGACCCTTTCAGAATGAGACTGTCATTGAACCCAAACAGATCCTCTCCCTGGTTCCAGGCCTGCTGCCCAATCACCGCAAGTAACTGAAAATCCAACGCTGAGTGGCCCTGGTCGCGACCGGACTCCTGGCCCTGGCCTAGAGGCTTCCCTGTCCCGGGCTCTTCGACAATATCAGAGATAGCATTATTGATGGCGCCGTTGCCATCCCCGTGCTTGAAATAATCCACCGCGAAGTCCCACACCGTCTGGTTCTCCGTCAGAACACCCATGGCCATCGCCGAGGCGATATTGCACAGCTCCCAGTTTGCAAAGAAGTGCAGGATATTATGCTCAGATGGCTCCTCATGCCGCAGCCACTTGTAGTGCATCGGAATGAAGATCTTATTAGCCATATCGATCACAGAAGGAAGGACATTTTTGGCGAAAGGCTCGTAGTCCCGGAGAAGCTCGGCGGCGTTGGCAAGCTCGTACCCCTGCAGTCCAGCTGTCAGGTACTTGTCATCGCCGCCGCCGAGGGCAGTTAGCGTGCTGGCCCAGGCATGGAGGATGTTGCTAGCCGCATCGGCGAAGCTAGTGTTAGAGGAGATCTTCCAGCGTAGGGCGAGATTGAATGCGGCTGCGACGTCGTGCCACAGGTTCTCCGCGTTTTCGGCGTTGCCGTCCCAGGCACTCCGGTAGACAACGCTGACCGGGGAAGGGGTGTAGCTGGCTTCAGAAAACCGGAGACCGGTCAGGACGTTCCAGGAGGTTGTCCATGGTTCCGCATTCGCTTTGATTTTTTGCTGCGCGCGAGTGATGTCGCCGTCCGAGACGAGAAGTCCAGGGTGGACGAAGCTGGAGGCAAGAGGAAGCAAGGGAATAAGGAAAGACAGATTAAGAAGCATTGTGAAGTGAAGAAATGAATGACAGTAGTAGGAAAAGAAAAGAACCAGCTATAGAACGAATAGAAGCACAAAAGAGAGTGGTGAAGGAGAAAAGAGGTCAATTGGAAAAGAGCATAAGCGGCCGAGTCATTGATATGTCTGCGATTATTACTATGGAGTAGATAGACGCCGATAAATTAACCGGGAGAGATTAATTAATTCTAGTTCAATGGATAGTCTCATACAAAGTTTATTCAGCGGCAGCATCAATCGTCAACGCGTGGGGAGATGAGCAAGGATATATCCAAATCAACCTGAAACACGGCCCCTGTTTCAACGCGGCACATTTGGCCCTAAGATCGAGGGTTAGCAGGATTCCACCAGTAAACAATCCGACAGATCTGGGTAGAATCTGAGCGGGATCTCAAGGGTCGAACTGTCGGAGATGAACCGAAGCTATTCACACTAGCCGGAACTTAGACTAGGCCCTAGCTCTCCCATTTATCCATAGTTAGCCCTAACCCATGAACCACTGTCTATACTAGGCCCACTTAAAGTTGCTTGGACCTTATAAGAGATTATTATACTTGAAACACGTGGACTCTGTGATACTCTCTGCAATAACTTAAGGTTCTGGTGCAATATCCACATATAAAGGAGAGCATTAAGAACATATAGTATAAATACAATCTTATAAGAAGACACTGGAGACATACTGCTGTAAAGTATTAATTAAGATTGCAAAAATAAGAGGTATTGTAGAACTTTAACTAAATCAAAGTTCCTGAGGATTAGCCCGCGAGATATTATAGAATGCGCATATCGTAGCTAGCAATCAGCTAAGATGATAGGTGTCCAGCTACAGCTCATCAACAGGATTAACCGTATTAGCGTGGCACTAGGGTGCTCCCTAGTCACCTTGTCCAACAACAGAGGACATGGTCTAAGCCATCCTTGCGGCCGAATCTTTATTCAGACGAAAGCATGTCACTAGGCCTTTTCTGGGGTCAAAGCCGAGATGATGATTGTCTAAACCTAAGATGCGTCCTCTTTGCAAATGGATTGATAGTATGAATACGAGAGATTTAGCAGATAGGCCGAGAAGAATCCTACGTGGGTAACTTTTGGTCCACAGCCTCAATCCGTAATTTCAATAAAGACAGTTTGACCAAATCCACACATCCATACCAAACCAGCAATCCATATCCTGACTGGGCGAAGGTCGAGCCCTCAGCAGTGGCATCGAATCCAACACCTACACGGCAGTCGGCTCCTCCAACGTCAATTTGCCCGGCTGCTCCAGAATAATCAACGGGCCCGCGACGACACTCTGCTCCGTGGGCGCATCCCGCCGATCGGCAATATTAACCATGATAATACTCGATTCGGGATCAAACCGCGCCGGGATGGTCGAGGTTCGTCTTCCGATCAAACGGTACGCTGATGGTATTCAACCCATGATAAAACACAGCATAGTACTCTGTGTCGTCCTCGAACCGCGGCTGGTTGTCTGCATCCGAGAACACAAAATGGATCTTCGATCCTGGCCGCGCGGTTGTGCTGTTCTTGCTGAACGCTAGCAGAGGCAGACCCTGGCGGGGATTGGGATAGACAGGGTTTGCTTTGGGACAGGAGCCGGGGACGACGAAGGCGTTTGTGGTGTCGAGAATCTGGTTCGCGTAGGGGTATACGGTATCCGCGGGGCCGGAGAAGGGGCTGGTGTTGAAGACGTCGATGAGGGACCAGACGTTGTGGCGGGTTTCAACTTGGCTGATTGACATGAGGGCGGATTTGGAGATGTTGCGGTTAGCTTGGCGCGCGAGGCCGGTGAGGAAGGCCTCGCTCGAGACTTCGATGTAGACTTGCAGGGCGAGGAAGGTCTCAGGTGTTGATTTGTTGAAGCCGAATTCGTATTTGCACGGTCCTGGTTTGAGCGAGTGGTTGGAGATTTGGTCCTGGAAGATGCGGAGGTGGCCTGCTTCGTTGTCGCGGATTTCGACGATTCGTTGGTAAGTGATGTTTGGGAGGCCGAGCTTTGTAAAGTCCGAGGATGAGAAGACCTCGACGGCTTGTTGGTAGAAGGATTAGATGATCCATTCTGCGTTGGCGAGATTCTGGAATAGTACATCATCCGAGCCAGGGGATCCATTGGGGTCTGTGGGGGGAATGACTCGGGTGTAGTTGGCTGCGAGTGGTGTCTTCTTGCCTGTATAGGTTGTGAACAAGTATGACTCTCCAGGTACAGCGTCTTCCGTGGATTGAAGGGAGTTCCCTTGGGTGGATGCGGTGGGTAGTGCAAGACATGGAAGGACGGATGCCGCACTGGCAACTAACAGGGTCGACAGATGCATGGTATAACCTTTAAGAACTTAATGCTATATCTGAAGTGATAAATCTGCAGGAGGTGTATTGAAGATGGTATGTAATTGCTGGATGAGATTAGACATGGACGTCAGCGAGCCTTTTATATTGCTTGACAATCGCCTTCAGACGCAGTCGCAAGGCTGCAGTGAAATGATCAGCCATACAGTACGTGACATTGCCACTCAGACTCCATCTCGAGGAGGAAGAATCTGCGAGCTTGCAAAGATCGTCTGTGATGACATCCTTGAAGCTGATGCAATGGGAGGCCTGATTAGCCGGGCTGTGCTTTAAAGAAATGACCAATGATGTTGAAGACAGGAGCACCAAGCTTTGCGTTCGGGTACACTAAACTGTATTGGGCTCATTGTGCGAGCGTGGCTCTGTGACTGATTGGCTGATAGAATGCAAGTCAGATCCACCGGGCTTGCAGATCGCTCGCTCATTCAGCCCAGAAGGGAAAATAATTTAGGTAGACACATTCCTCGTCCGGAGCATATTCTCACGCCGACCGATCTCGAATCCATGAATGTCAGCAGTCACCGCCATGATCTTTTTCATCCACCTGGCTTCGTCCGACTCGGGCTCAAGATTACGATAGGCTACATTCAGAGGGAATAATAGCATGAATGCCCCGGAGCTCCTCTGCAGGCAGTGGAGATGGTAATCCACGGTCCTACACACCTCAATCGCAACCTCCTTCCTGTTACTTGGTACTGGATGGAGGAGGTCGCTCGAACTTGTCATAGAAGAATGGGGCCCTCCCAGGTTTAGCCCAAGTGCTTCCGCTGCCTTGAGCACGATAAGCAGCACCGAATCGTACACAATCAGCTCGTTGGCGCGGTAGGGGTCCGTGAACCAAATGACTGTTTTAAATGGGCTGGGAGGCAAGCCATCGGACCCTGAATTGCTTGACGGAATGAAGAACGCTGTGTCCGGGTTATCCTCTTGCCATTTACATCGCCACGAGTAAAGGATTTCCAGTATTGATAATGCATTCTGGCGAACTTGGCCGAGGAACTCATCGCGCCCAGGTATATCCGGGTCCCATGCAATTACTTTGTCTAAATCCTCAAGTAGACCCGGAATGTCGCAGAACACGTCGTGGATGTAGTCGATTGGCGTCTTGGAGCCCATTCGTCCAGCCCAAGGGATGCTCTTCCACGAAGGGTCTTCTAGGAAACAGCGTTTCCTCTCCACGATGTATCCAATTGCCTATGAAATGTGAGCGCGTCGTCCCGCAACCACAAGCTAATACTTCTTACAATTTCAGGACCTGAGCGTAGGAAGAAGGGCAGCTCCGGCACCAGACTGATGGCGATGCGGGCCTCTTAATTCTGTCTGTTACAGCCACTTAGCAACCTCACGTTCTGTGGGAAAATAAATACTTACAATCCGCGCCAGTCCCTGATAATGCTGGAGCCAAGCGGAGGATTGAGTGAGCGCAACCGATTCGAGAGTTGCAAGGCAGATCACGGCGACAAGAAGATCAGATTCCAGAGCTCGATCTGGGCATTCCAGCTGCACGCGCAGGCTTTGCAGAGCCTGTGAATAAAGGCCTGCACCTTTCCGCATTAGGTCTGGATGACTACGAACCTTCCCAAAGTATGTGGTAGCCAGGGCACGGAGCGAAGTCGTAGACAGCCCTGTGGGATCTCTGGGGTGCAGCAGCACTGTAATCCAAGATGCCGAGTAAGGGGATGCGTCATCTGTATGCCACGTAAAAAGACGATTGACTAGATGCGACACACAAACGTATTGCTCATCTCACTGGGGGTTGACGTAGATGGAGTCTTCCGCGTCCAGACCTGCCTGCGCTTCAGGAACTGACTGATCTCGTTTCGCAGATTGGCCCTGAGTCAAGCGTCTAGTTACATCTTTGAATTCGACGTGACGGACATAACCTTCGCAGCGGAACCCGCCTTTCCTGCAACGCTCACAATTAGGTTTCGCTTCATCTAGGCGATAGTTACCATGCCATTGCGAAGTGTAACACGGTAGCGACGGACACACCGCATTTTACTTTGCGTCGTCGACAGGCCCTGCAGCCTTTACTCGTCCGCCTATGTTCACCATTGTCTTCTACGTAAACTTGTGATAATCAACAAGGGTAGGAGTTTGTTCGAGCGCAGACCCGTCAAGCTGACTGCCTGGAGGGGCTCCTGCAGTGCTGACCTCTCAATGTGATAGGATGCGCTGACTAAGCTCGTATAAGGCTAGTTAGCCAAAAATCACCAGGTATCACCCCTTATTATTCTTGGACAGTTGGACAGTTGGACCACTTTTGGGCACTTACGTAGCTCTGTCCCACGGCTGACCATCTCCTTAGCCTCGAGACCATTCATGATGGCTGCTATCTCAAATCGCAACATCTCCAATCCACTTTTGGGCACTTACGTAGCTCTGTCCCACGGCTGACCATCTCCTTAGCCTCGAGACCATTCATGATGGCTGCTATCTCAAATCGCAACATCTCCAATCCACTTTTGCTGCCGGAAATCGTCGCATCTGTCATCGACAATGTCCACCTGGTCCCAGATATCTTGAACTGTGCCTGTGTAAATCGCATGTGGAGTGTGACAGCTTTGAAGAAACTATATAAGGGCTCCCTGAATGACATGCAGCTCCGTACACCTGACATTGGATCACTTAATTGCCTCTTTGTAGCATCACGGGAGCGCTTCGCTCGAAACATCAGCTTTGTGAAGCATCTTCTCCTCTCTACAGATGTGATCGCATTTGATCAAAACGGACGACCGACAACCACGTGCTACGAGAAGTGTCGCGCTTTGCGCCAGCGCAAATATGCGAAGCTCCTTTTGCAGCCGCAAGAAAGTGGTCTTACCAGCCTCGTCATCCCCTTTGAGATCGCGAATCAAGATTGGTCTATCATTTCCGACCTCCTTCTTACTCCTACCATTGAGTTTCTAGCTATTAATAGATACTACTGTGGACTGGTGATGGACAGCCCCGGCTATCTCCAAGAACCGATCACCCCTGCTGTAAGTGATTTTCCAGCCTGTGATTCTCCCATTCCCAAGAAGAAACGCCTAACTGTAGCAGGATAAATTCTCCAACCTCAAAGCGCTCACAGTTTACAACCAAGATGTTGGCCCGGAGATTTATGAGCTTTGCCAATTGCTTCAATGTTGCAATTTGCAGTTCTTCCACCTTGAGGAAAGCGCTCATAGCCGTGTGGGACGCGTGACCCGATCCGACCTTATAGAAGTCCTGTTGTGCCTTCGACGGCACCAAAACCTCGAGACGTTGGCGCTGATTATCCCTTATTGTTCCCCACCCCTGGAATCAACAAGTGAAGAGGAGCAAGGAAACCCATGGCCGAGGTTGAAGGCATTGTACCTTGCAAAGCTTCCCCAAGAATGGCTAGGCCTATTATCAACATTTGATGACCTTCAAATCCTCTGGCTGCAAGACCTCGGAACCAGGTTCTTCGGAACCAGGTTCCCTACTATGAACCAGAATGTACTTGAAAACATTGCCAAATGCAGAAGTTTACGGGTCATCGACCTGGATTTCCGTGATCTTGACAATGTAGAAGCACTCCTTGATATCGCGCGTGGCTGCCCGCTTTTACAAAAGTTTTGCGTGAAGGCCATGCACTTGAGCGGGGAACATTGTCTGGGAGAAGACCTGTTTTTCGACCTGCTGCGTGCCCTGCCTCAAGTAGAGTTCCTTGCTCTTGATGCGAAATTTGAGATGGATGATACGAAGCTGCAAGACCTTGCCCGTCACTGCCCGCGACTGGTCGTGCTTGACCTGCGTTACACCCAATTACACCTCTCTCTCGCGACAATGATCGATTTGGATCCACTCTGGCAGTTAGAGAGCATGACTTTTGCACAAATATACTTCAAGGATCCACCACGCTTGAAAAGTGATGCTATCCAGAGCATTGCAACAGAGTGGCGCAGGATATTCCCAAGGCTTCAATATGTGCGATGTCATTCGGACCCTCCGTATCGGATGGAAGATGATTGGGGCGAGGAATCAGAAACAGATAATGGCAGTATGAGCTCTGATGACGACACGTCACTCAGTGACTTCGAGGCCAACTCGGACGGCCACCAATCAAATCAGTATGCATTACGAAGAAAACTCTGGAAGGCCCTCGGTTATGGGAAAGACTCGGATATTTATTATAAGATTGTATATATGTGGCAGACCAATCTGGAGATCAAGACGATTGGCTGGCCCGTGGTGCCTTTGGCAGCATTTTTTGATCCAGACGCACACTCCACGACTGCTAAATGCGGCCAGTAACTGGAGAGTAGTCTGCATGATACCAGGATTGTACATTCTCTTATACCACCTAAGATTTAGTGCATACAGCATGGCTAGGATGAATACCACTGGTGATATACTGTATACATACCCTAATCTTGTATACTGTGGCCACCCCTACAAAGCCTGACTCCTGTTTCCTGGAGGAATTTTACCGCTCGTTCATGCTCTGGATCCCGGCACAGATACCAATAATCCAGCCAGAATTCCCGAGCAGCACTATGGTCAGGCATATACTTTCGTAACAAAGTCTTCCACTCCCTGTCCTCCTCACTGTCAGGAACAGAGGTACAGACATACTCCCACCATACCGGGAAGTATCCAGACACCTCCCAATCAATAATCCCAGTAAGTTGGCCGTCTTCAACCATAATATTGACATTCGTGAGATCACCATGTGTGAAGGTATAAGGCGCAGCAGGCGGCATACATTCTCGAAGTCGCGTGCGCGCATCTGGTGGAACAGATTCATGCAAACCCTTTTCCATCTCCGCCCAGAGCTCGTCATCAGACGCCAGAGGACCATGAGGAAGGTCACACTGATCATTATAAAAGAGGAAATTAGAGTAGACTGCCCCGCCACCGAGAGCTTGTATCTTATCAGACTGAAGCTCGCGCAGCTGTAGCAGAAATTCCGCCGTCTGCCTTGCTATATTCTCTTTCTCGGCGGTAGACAGCGTTGGCCAGGCTTTGTTAAGCGGTTCGCCGGGAACACGTCTCATCAAAATAAAAGTGCGGTCGTCTTCCTCCCATGATTCAACGACCGAGGGAACTGGGATGGAGGTCTCCTGCTGCACGAACTGGGCATTCGCTACTTCAAAGGTTGGACGACGGGAACCTCGATCTTTTAGAATCAGATTTGACCCCAAAGACCAGACGCCGCGGTCGCCAGCTTCGTAGAATAGTTTTACGTGGCTTTTGTAACCGCAGTGCTTTTGGCGCTCGGTGGTCCAGCTGCATGCTGCGCAGGGGTCTGAGGAGCTCATGGTGAGAATATCAATTAGAGAGAGAGGTGTGGTCCAGGATGGAGGAAGTTATGATGATGTGTAAATGAATCTGGTGAGCAGTCATATTTATATCCTGGTGTGCTTATCACACCGCCACTTGGTTTTCTGTTTGCGCGGCTATAGAGTAGCAAAATCTAGATTGTCTTGTGTAACCTATATGTACTGGTTAATAAAGATAAGTGACACCCTTACTATGTTCATTAGGTATGCCAAAGGGGCTCATTCATCTGACGTGGATATCTCATGATTCTCATCTAACTTTAGGTAGGATATAGACTAAGTCAGTAATGCTATAAGTTATGTAAGGGCTCCTGGCCCTCTCCGTCTTTGTCCCGTCCTGAGTACCATCACAATCTGTGAAAATTGCAAGGATCACAAGATGCTCTTTGCATATACTATCTGTGAAGGCTGACAAGTTCGAAAGCCTCCTAACACATAGACTTCAGAGTTGGTCCGAACCAAGAGGCCCATGCCAATGAAAACCATCCAGAGTATCATAGAAAGTGAGGAGGTCACCTGCTTGTCATTGTATGGCGTAGGGATCTTGTTACTATGTGTATGGTGCATCATCGTACTCATGTCGCCAATAGTTCAATGCAGACTACATGGAATTTGAACATTGAGAGTATAACTAGTATCAACCTAGACACTGCCAAATCACTGACGGTATCTATATGTATGATGAAGAAATGTCAGAACGGTCACTCTCCTAGGTCTTAGAATCTTGCAAGTAACACAAATAAATATAGTCTGAATACATTCAGCTGATGCTCGTCTCTTCACCGGGTGGTCGAGTTCTTCTGGTGACCTACTTTCTGAGGGCTAAAGGCCAATAAAACCCTACTTTGGGTGCAGCACTATGAGCATACCTTACATTTCTGGCATCTGCAATGTGCCTATAAATAAAATACTACTGATATATTTACTCTGGGTATTTTCCTACCTACCAAGCAACTTCTTGATCAAGACGAATTAGTATCACCCATAGTCTTCCCCTCATGTTTGTAAGAAACCACCATGACAATAACCGCTGCCGCAAACATCGCCCCGGCAATCCCTGTGTACATCCATAGTAAATCAGGATCTTTATTTGTTGGTGTAAGCGCAAGCGCAATAATAGATCCCCCGGCCGCAGTTAGGCCATACAGAGCCTGAATGATGGATTTCATGCTCTTTGGTGCTTTGGTGAATGTATACTCATACCCCGCGGGGCTGGCAAAGACCTCACTGAGGCCTTCCAGAAAATAAACCGGCGACTGGTACCCGATGTTGACGTGGTTTGGGAGAGATCCATTCATCGACGCAGCACAGGCTCGTGGATGTTTGTAGCACGGCCCGGAGCTGTAAATCCAGCCCTGGATGCCAGCCGCATATGCCATCCCCAGTGCCTCCAGGAAGAAGCCCAATGCGACCCGCCGGAGGGGAGGCGTCCGAATACCACGGCTGTGGAGGAAGGGGTAGACGAATTTGGTGACGAGCGGCAGTGCAATTATCACTGTAATAGAGTTCAGGTTAGGGAGCATATCATTGGGCACCCCATGAGTCTCCATTTGAGCAGCTTGAGACACGGTATTCGTGGTCATCTGCGCCTGGCATAGCCAGAAAATAATGAACGGTGTGCTTCAGATTTGTCAGATAATGGTACTTCAGTAGTGCGACCTACTACACCTACAATGCACGGCAGGCAAACAAGGCGCTCTTCAGCTCATCGATAAGCCCATCAGACCAAGTGACCGTTGTACCTTCTCTAGCTAAGACGGCCTCTGGCCTTGCCGCATCCATGCGAAAACCGTGCCGGATCGCGACCCAGAGGGCTTGTATAGCCGGCAGCAGTACACTTCCGTGTGGCTCGGAGGTAGCTTCTCGTGATTAACATCCACTATCGCAACTCTAGTTTTTCCGAGTACTAACCAAGGATCCGGCGACCGACGAAGAATATTACTACGCCGGCCACAATGGAACAGAGAGACATGAGGTATGTGGCCCAGAAGCCAACGTCCTTTTCGATGAACGTAGCTGCGATCCGAGACTGGGCTCCGATGTTCATACACCTGGACTCAATGAGCTATCTGCCCCCTCTAGCTTGCTTATACCTAGCGTACCAGTAATAGACGTCGAAGGCATACTGCAACGTGATGTCGGGGTCAACGATAACGCGTTCGCCAGTCTTGGTAATATGGATCCGCTGCTTGATCTTGCCACATTGCTCCGCTGTTGCGGATAGGATGTCAGTCTAAATCGGCTAGCAATGTTGAGATCCGCGTACCAAGCATGGGAGGAAGCGAAGCTTTAACTCCACCGAGGGATAAGCTGATGAGGATTATGGCGACAATAAAGCCTGGAAGTCCAGCCCCGTTGTGGAGCATGGACGGAATGGAGGTGATAAAGAGCACCGCAACTCCAAATATGTACAGACTGCATCTTGTCAGCCACCGAGACCGATTTCTGATGCCGAAGGTGAGAGAGTCAGTACATCAGGGACAGCAACACCGTACAATACCGGCCCAGATACCCGTCCGCCAGTATACCGGCTGCCATTGGCGTCACATAGCTGATAATCAGAAAGATATTGACCAAGAGAGATGCTTTGGCTTGTCCGAGGCCTAGAGCACCCGGGCGCAGGGGATCCGATGGTGAGTTCTGGACATAGTTCTCTATGGTTTTTGTGAGAAGAGGAAACAAATGCTCAATTTGGTGACAGCCATACGGAAGGGTCCAACAAAAGCATAATAAGATAAACGCTCACAAATAGTCACAGAAGAAACTAGCCACGCTGTGGAGGGAAGAGAATCCGCAACGCGACGACACTGGAGATCTACTGGGTTGGGGGCCTCGCCCTCTGCTGCCGGCAAGGAGGCTGGCTCAGCGGGCGCGACAGGACTAGGAGCCGTAAGCATCAGGGTCCAACAACAGAAGTGTATGACTTACTGATCTTTTTCTTCCACTTGCATGACAATAATAGTTGGTAACGGATGAGCACGTAGGTTCAAACCCACTTGGTGTGTGGGGGTTGTAGAAGCAATAAATATGACTTATCAGGTACTACCTTAGCTTAGTTACTGTACTAGGTACCTAAGATAGACCCGCTGCGTAAGGCACTAATGATTCGCTCTTGTCTGTGCCTCACTGTCTGAGACCCCTGGCCATGGACTATCCTGTTTGGGACCCCGCAATGGTCCACTTTGTTGGATGCAGTCTGGAGGATAAATAGCTCCTGCGAGCACTCCTTCATCGGACTTACAGACTGCCACTATACGACATTCCGGGCAAGATAGGTAGTGCGTGAGAAAAAGATGACTTTGAAGCAGTTCATTTGGCAGGACAAGGGAGGTAAGTTCAGAGACGCCTTCGGCAAGGGCGACACGAAGTGGCCATTAACAAGACTTTGGATTATAGAGACATTCTCGTGCTGCTGGGAATGGGCCAAACCTGTTTCAAATGCATTCTCGACACTCAACCTGATATTGCGACTCACTGGCCCTGGACAACACGAGAAAGACAACGAAAATAACCGCGTGCTCGCCTTTCTTGCGGATACGACTCGTCGCTCGCCTCCTTTGAAGGAGACGCTGGTCAAACTTATCATCCCACTGCAGGGTGGGTATATCGCGCGATCCGACTTCCTCACCGTGAGAATGATCAGTTGTCCTATTGTTCAATGCGTGAAAGAGTTTTGTTCTCCTGAGCAGTATCTAGAGGTGCCTGGGCCTCATGTCTCTGAATTCGACGAAGTTGCCCGCTATGTTATTGGAGCGGTTGTACTGCGCGATCCAGAAATTCATTGCTCTTCAGCTCTGCAGCAAATTGATGAAGAGCTGGAGAACCGGATCCCGCTATCATATATACTTTCTACGCCGCTGACAAACAACCACCTGGTGATCGTCGGTCATCGGCACCCGGCAGTAATGGCGGGATACCTTGCCTCTGCCGCCGCTCTGGGCATCCGTGTTACGCTTGTTGATGGCGAGAATGAATTCCTGGCGGTGGAGAGACGGTCGGACGTGGTTGAGAAATGCATCCAAATTGACATGACCGCTGACGACAAGCTTGCAAGTCGGATCGTGGACGCCCTGTCCGCGACGAGAGAGAAATACCACGGGATTACCACGTTCACAGATACATGGCTGATCCATGTGGCAAAGGCAGCGGAGGCATTGGGGCTACCTACTACGTCTCTGGACACGGTGAAGCTCTGCTTGGACAAGTACGCCACGCGTCAGCTATGTCCTGATGAATTCCAGCCCCTGCGAATCAAGAGCTTGGAAGAACTACGGAGCCACCTGGTCAGCTCGCAGTTTGACTATCCTTTGATAGTGAAGCCCTGCACTGCATGGGGCTCACAGGGCGTCTACAAAGCTTGCACCCAAGAGGAGCTGCTCGCCGTTGTTTCACTGGCACAGAAAGCTGCTAAAGGCTCCGATCTCCTCATCGATCGATACGTCAATGGACCGGAGATCGATGCGAATTTTGTCCTACAGGATGGTGAAATACTGTTCTTTGAGCTAGTCGACGGTCTGCCCTGCACAGCCGAGGTGGAGAACCAGGGCAAGCCTGGCGACTTCCTTGAGACAGACGAGATATGGCCGACAAATCATCCCCAGCGGGAAAGCGACATGATCCGGTCGCGTCTCCACAGCATCCTCCTCCAGACAGGCTTCCGCGACGGCGTGTTTCATCTCGAAGCGCGAATCCCAAACTCCGCCATGCATTATACAGTGCAGGACGGAATCCTTGATTTGCGACCCCGCGAGGCAGAGCCGGTCGGTGACCTGTCCGTCTTCTTACTAGAGATCAACCAGAGGGTGCCCGGGCACGGCGGAAGTTGGGGCACTGCATTAGCATACGGGCTAGACTATCCAGCTATCTACATGCTCGGTGCTTTGAACGAGAAGGAACGGTTTCGGTCACTTTCAATCCCGTTTGCTAAAGGAGCTCAGCAATGGGTTGATAGCGTTTTCATCAACTCCGAGAAGGCCGGCGTCTACGACGGAGATGATGTCTGCCGGGAGCTGCGTAAGCAGAGGCCAGATCTCATGGCACATGTCCACTACAGCAATTGTTACTACGGCAATGGCGAGACAATAACGGATTCTCCAGCTCGAATTGCGCTCTTCGTCGTCACTTCACGTGAAAGTCGGCGGCAGGTGTTGGAGATTTCGAAAGAAATCCGCCAGTCAGTGGAAGTGAAGGTGCGATAATTCGCCAAATGTACCTACCATAGAGATCATAATTAGTGTGGATTACTACCTTGTATAGTCCGAGTAGTCGTGAGTACCTTCCCTAGATCGTCCACCCGAAACTCCGCTGTTGATGTTACATCTCAAGTGGGTCGTTTATAATCTCCTAGCCACAATCAGCACGGAGCCGAACAATGTCCGAACAACATACGATGGGACCTTATGAGATCGGATCCTAGTAACGCCCCGAACACCAAGCGGCGCGGGCCGCGGTATGGGATTAGGGCGGCCAGATACCTGTAACCTGTCTGTGACGCCGCAAGCCACCCCAGATGCAGTAAGATCTTAGTTCGTTTCTAAAAGTACAGCTCGGCCGCTGTGGTTCTACCATCGCCAACTTTATCCCTGTTAAGGCGACATGCGGCTTTCCCATCCTTCCGTGACTTATGTCTATCAACGATCCTGTGGTACTTTTGTTACGTTCTCAAGGTAGATCAAACTAGGCTAATCTATGAGGGACCTCGGTATGACCCGATTTGGAGCCATGCATCAGACTGCTGTCCGTAAACCAGGTATTCTACCTACTTAGCCAGTCCCATTCCCCTAGTAACTGCAGCATTAGTTGCAGATTGCGGTATCTTAGCATGTTCTGTGCTTTTTTACTGTGCTGTGTTCAAGTGAAGACTGTTCGTTGTGCCACCTTTCCCGGCCTGGCAAAAGAATGTTCAGGACTAACTCCTGAAAAGGAAAATATAGACAAAAAAAAAAAAAAAAAAAAAAAAAAAAAAAAAAAAAAAAAAAAAAAAAAAAAAAAAGAATTCGGCCGATGGTACCATTTGAACCTTTTCCACGTCAAGCAATCTGTGCTCTCGCAATCTCTGCATTGACAGGGATATTGAAACTTGGATTCTCGACCATGGAAGCCTGTGCCGTCCATTGTAGTACTGTCTCCGGCCTAAACAGTAGGCAAGTAGTAGAGCCTCCAAAGTGGAACATTCCCAACTCTTGCCCTTTGCTTACACGTTGCCCGGGGATAACCGTAGTCTCACATGTCGAGACCTCGGCCATTCCAACCGGCATGACGCAAACAAGCCCAATGGCAGGATTGTCCGCTTCGATGAAGATCAAAGCCCGGGTCGCGACTGCGGTCAGATAGCCCTGAGATGGGCTGAGGGACTTGTGAAGGGATCCGAATCCCTGAGACTCAGCTTTGGAGTAGTACGTTCCCGGCACGAGGCGAGTCTTCACTACCGTGCCGCTGACCGGGCTGTGCCAACGATGGTAGCTGAGGCTGCTGAGGAAGGCCTGGTAGACGGTGCCCCCGACGAAGTGCCGCGCTAGCTCATCCTGCGCCAACATGTCCAGGATAGAGTATGGCTGGCCCTTGACCCAGAAGGTGTCGCGGCGCGCTACATTGGTGGCGAGACGGTACGGCTTGGATTCGCAGGGGTTGGCGATGATATTGTCGTCGTCGGGACCGGCAACAGGACGTAAGCCCGGGCGGAAACGACGCACGAAGAAGTCGTCCCATGACGTGAAGCCCCAGTGCGGTAACGAAGGATTGCATTCGAACAGCTGCTCAAAGGTGAAGCTCGTGGTTCCAACATTAGCCACCCTCTCCATCGCAGCCAGGGCATCAGCCCCTAGCCAGCCGTTTGCATCCGTAGTTAGGACGTTAGCAGATGCCCCTGAGCCAAGATGCTCGGCCCACGTGTCGAGAACCTTCTTGAGCTGTGCGTTGACCCTGTCATGAAGGAAGAATGCTTTGCCGCTGGGGGTCGACATGGGCCAATTGAGAACCACGTTGATGGGGAAACCAGTCCACCCAATCTGGAAGACCAGGTTGTCCCATTTCGGTGCGGCCGTCAGCAGCGAATTCATGAGCTGTAGCATTTGCTTGTAGTCGCGGATTTGAGGCCGTCCAAGTGGGTCGTTGTCGTAAGGAGATTCGGATGGCACTTGTTGGAACATTGCACAAGCGTGCATAAAGATTATTGCGTCAGACTCAATGATATTCTGAAATTCGCGTATGACTGCATGTAGTGGGGGCTGTTCATGGCTAGGCTTGGTGGCCTGAAGCACCATGGAGATGAGCCACTGCTGTAGAGCCCTGCTTCCATGATACAGAGGTGCTTCTGTTGGCTGACTGGCGATTCCGGAGTGATTTCCCATTATTTCCTTGATTCAAGTGGATCTGCACGATATCATAGAAGCATATTGCATACACAACGTTGGGCAAGATGATTGCTAAATATATCTCCGCCTCTACACACGTAGGGCCTTTGTGTATGAATACACACGGGGAAATACGAATGAGCATGCGCCTCTTTCCATCTTAGCTGATGGTGGATCATCTAGGCAGTCAAGATGACACAATTCAGGCATCCTAGTATTCTCCACACGACTCCGTACTGAATTCCCTTAAATCAAGCACAAGCACCTTCCTGATCAGGTTTGGAGCCTGTTGGAGGCGTAAGCTCATCTGGTAGTCATTAATGTCCAACTCCCCAGTGAACGTAAGCAGTTTATCGACAGCAAATGGTACCGGTTAATAGCGCAAAATGGAAAATCAGGCGTCCGTTGAGCAGCGACTCGACTTGATCACGAAAGGGTTGATCGAGGTCCATGGAGGAGATTCGATCCGTCAGATTCTAGAGGAGGGTAGAAATCCCAAGGGCTTCTGGGGTATCGTATAGCACATCCACTTGATAGACGCGAGGGTTGTCTTGCTAACTGTGCAGTGAAGCAACCGCTCCGACGGGCAAGCGTACGATTCTCCACTTGCAATTCAGGACTTCATTATACTTACTTTCTTTTAGCGCATTTGGCATACTTCGTACCCTTGCTCAAACTGGCAGACTTTGTCAAAGCGGGAGCTGATGTGAGTTTTTGACTATCCACCCTACGGAGGAATTCGAATATTATGGCTAAGTCGGGATGTAAGGTGACCGTGCTATTTTGCGGTATATACAACAATCCTAGCTGTAGTCGACAATACATACGGTGGCTAACTCTTCTCACCAGATCTCTACGCATTTCTAGTGAACTACAAGCACTCCTGGGAAACAGTTGGCCATCGGACAGCTTACTATAAGCACATAGTGAGAGCAGTCCTCCAAACCTTAGGGGTCCCGGAGAACACAGTTCACTTCGTAGAAGGCTCATCATACGAACTGACCAAAGCTTTCTCTCTTGACAACTACAAACTCTCCGTTCTCGCGGACGTCGACGAAGTGAAAGGAACTGGAGACGAGTACCGCAATCCAGGCAAACTGAGCGTTCTCTTCTGTCCCGGCCTTCCAGCCTTGGCTGAAGAATACCTCGATAGTGATTTCCAGTTTGGAGGCGAAGACCAGGTATGACTTCCTCCCAATCATTGGCAAGAGTCACGCTGCGTACAAGAGTACGACTGATACTGTTCTCAGCGTGGTCTCTTTGCATTCAATGAGCGCTTTCTCCCTCAATTGGGATATCGAAAGCGTGCACATCTCATGAACACCATGGTGCCAGGGTTACAGGGCATAAAAATGTCATCGTCAGTGCCGGACTCCAAAATTGAATTTCTTGAGGATCCTGAATCTGTGCGCCGCAAGATATTCAATGCTAGCTGCGAGGATGGAAAGGCCGCTGAAAATGGCTTGCTGAGTCTTCTCAAGTTGGTGGTTATTCCTTTTAACCGGAATAGGTTGGAAAATGAAGGGGCAACGGATCGTGATAAAGGCGTGTTTCAAGTTAAACGAGGGAATGGTGAGGTCGAGAGCTATGCATCGTACGAGGATCTTGAGACCGCTTTTTCTACGGGCAAAATATCGTCTGGAGATTTGAAAGAGGCAACGGTGCAAGCTGTGAATGCGATGTTGGATCCTCTGCGTAAACAGTATGAGGCGAACAAGGAGTGGCAGGCTGTTGATAAGTTGGCATATCCTGAGGACCAGAATATTGCACTATGAATAGGATACGCTTTGGCGGGCTCAGGACCTTCTAGACGGGTGTTTCATATGAAGTGTTGAGTTTTCATTGTGATTATTATGGCAAAGATGCAACACGGGAATGAAAAAGTGTCGAATGTATGTTTCTTGGACATATATCAATCCGGATTAGAAATCCGGATGGTCTCTCATACAGAGATGGTGGCAGGTCGAAGTTCTAGGACCAAAGACAATAACAACGACATAGACACAGACGAAAATTAAACGAAGGAAAAGAGAAAAGGAGGATAAGCACCTCTGAGATCTGGCTGACTATGGAAAGACTTAAAATGTGATGTACGCTACCTAAAGCCCTAGCCTAAGTGAAAAGGTTGAGGGACGACTCAGGCCGCAAATAGTACAACAGACAAAAACGCTTCCCGGCCCCAGGAACTGGTTGTCCAACACGGTGCAAACGCGAGTGCAACTCTCCCTTGGACAACCGCTGCAGGGAGTTGGCTACGTTAACAATGGCATGGCCCGTCTTCGGTTCGATAAATCCCCACTCTGTAGACCCGGGCATTTGTATTTCGGTCGTGTAGTGTGGGCAGAAAAGTAGAGTAAGAGTGCCGCCATCAGTGTGCTGGGATGGGGGAACGTCTTCGAGCTTCTCCTCGAAGGGAACAGACTCTAGCTTGAGCCCAGAGTCACTCGGCTGCCCCTCCCGGTGGCTGTCCTCAAATCGGCCTAAGCCGAGGGAATTAGACAGCGAGGACAATAACGTAAGGACCTTTTCATGGGATGACGCAATAAAGTCTTCGACGACTGGCCACTCTTTGCTCATGCATTGTGGCGCGATTCGCTTCCCCTGGAGAATCTCATCCCGGGCAATTTCGAAAGTCTCTGCCTCGCCCGGCTTATACCTTGCAGACTGTTAAAGATTTTCGTATCTGGAAGCGACGGAGTTCCTCTTACCCCCGCTCTTGGTTTTCTCGGAAGTCTCTCATTTTGTCGGCCTCCGGCTGAGCAAAATAATCCTCTGCCAATTGGTAGAGAACATGCAGGGTGTCGAGATACCTTTGGTCGCCTCTTAGGTCAAGATAGAAGAAGCCTGGGGACTTGCTGTTACGAGCAAGCTTCTCAATCTCATCGGGATCACCACTTGCTAAGAGGTCGTAAGAGATGGTTTGAAGAGGGGCATGTAGGACACGGTGGCCGTCTATGATTGTCTGCTGGAGGCACGTAGGTGACGCCATTTTGGGAAATACAGTAGTAATAAAGTGTAAACAGTAGGTGAGTGGCTGTGAGAAAAGTTGTGGAATAAGTTCACGCTTTAGGACGGCGCCATATATAATGCCAATTTGTAGGCAAATGCTGTATAAAATCCGAGACATGCAGTTCCACCTGCCACGAGCATATGCGGTAACTTTGGAGGGGATGAGGCTGCCGTCGTTGAGCTGATAGTGCGGCATTTTTCAGGAATACAATCCGTCTTCTCTCCAATGTAACATTCAAGGGTACCCCTCTCGTGTGGAGAGACACTTGAGCGGAGCTGAGCCGTCCTGCAGATCCTGGACATGGACGCCTTGCCGTGACTCAGTAAGCTCTTATGTGGTTTTACATACATGGATATTGAATGAAACTTAAGCCCTGGTACAAATGTCTACCGGGTGAGACACATACCACCTGGCTAAACTTGGCCACAGTGTATGGAGCAAAGGTACCAATACATGCGTAACATGCTTGAGGCTGGCAGTCGCATGGTCTGTAATTGTCAGTGTTGACTAAATGTTTCCATTCGGCCCTAGGCAGCAGTAAGCAAAGTAAGGAGCATCCCCTGTAGAGCTCATTTTGTATATCGCTAACTGTTTGAGCCCCAAGGCTTTCTTAGAAAACCCCCGAAAGAACTGACACACACCGACTACATCCCGTTGCCTTCCTCCAGTCTGCCGTTGAACTCCTATACAATCCTTGTGGGACTTGACACAATGATAGCTAGACTTGATTTACTTGTTCTTTTCACTATTTCTTGCTTGATATTCTATTTGGTCTGGCAGAAGGACAGATCCAACTATGCCGTACTTCACGTTAATGGCGGCAAGCCTCATAAGGCTAAAGGAAAATTGATTCACAATAAAGAAAAAGCCGGAGTCCATCATGAAAATGCAGCTAAGGAGTTGCATATGCTGAAAGAAACTTACTTCAAGCTTCAGAACCTTGAAGTATTTCCTAGTATCCTCCCAGCAGCCCGACAACTGCTGAACCAAATGCTTTCTGGTTCCCTTCTAGATGCGATCAAAGAATCCCATTCCAATATTCTTGGTATAGACGAGTTCACGCCAGCCAAACTGGCGGAATTTGTCCGGACAGCCGAAGCCAAAACAAAGACCGAATGGGAGGACTATCTTGCGAGAAGGAAATCTGGATCCCCGAGGGAGCTCTTCCATGATGCAGAACGTGCCAGACACTGGCTTAGGCAGAATGCCCCTTTGAAGTACGTGGATGGTGCATGGCTTGGTCATATTCACAAAGTCACAACTCCTTTTGCCTTCCGCAGAGTCACCAAGGACGCGTGGCAAGTGTTGTCAGAAGAGCTCGGAGATGGTGACCTGCGCAAGAACCATGTGTTTCTCTACCAACAGCTGCTGGGGCAGGTTTCCTCTCAATTACCAGCCGGCGACTCCGAAGATTTCATTCGACCCCATCATGGACTGGACGATGTTGGTGTTTGGAGAGCTGCTGTAGCTCAATTGCTTATTTCACTATTCCCACACGAATTTCTACCGGAGATTCTCGGCTTCAACCTTCATTTTGAAGGCTTGACTTTTACCACGCTCCAGGTGGCCTGTGAATTGAAAGAGCTGGGAATCGATCCTTACTACTTTCTTATTCATATTACAATCGACAATTCCGACTCGGGGCATACGGCGATGGCAATGGAGACCGTTATCAGATATCTCGACATCGTCCAAACCCAAGAGGGCAACAACGGGGTGCAAAAAGCCTGGAAGCGCATTCAGGCAGGATATGTCTTGTCTGAGCGATCCGCCACCGTCTCCGTCAGAAGCTTGGAGAATAAAAAGACAGTGCCAGTAACAGAGGGCCTTGCTGAAGATGTCACTAAGATATTTCAAGCAAAAGCTTGTGCAGCAGACAAGATCCACTGCGCTAGTCGTATGACGATTAGTGGTCGTTCTTTAGCTGAATGGCTCGATCCAATCCACATCTGCGACAAAAGATGGCAGCTTGATTTTCTCTATGCCCTGGCCAACTGCACACCTTGGGTGAAAAGGGGTGACAGCGAGAACAGTAGGCTCATTCATGAACTCTGCTGGGGTGGCCGGATGTTCGGGTCCTTCACACACCATGAAGTTGAAACAGTGAAGAATTGGATTGACTCGTTGGATAACTTCTATATGTTCTACGTTGGAAGCCAAGACGGCCTGCACGCCACTTCCAAGAGCAGTGATATTCGTTATGATTATCCTGTATTTTCCTCCCTGAGTGTGGATGATATCCTAGGACAAACAGTCCCATTGTTGCGGGATGAGGATCGGTTCATCCTTTCCAGTGCGAATATCACTACAGTTGCGAGGATCCTTCCATTATGGCTCACCCACCCCTGCCTTCTAGAGGGTTTTGTGGCTGTCCCTTTCAAATCAACCAATACCCTTCACTGTACGGTGATACGCCTTCTTCGGAGTCAATATGGGTTCGGAATTGAACGACATGGCGTCGAAGGCATTGATGAGGTCCGTCGAGATGCGGTTGGTCTCGTCGAGCTAGGACAAGAGTTGATAAGGATCTATGGTGCGGAAAAGGTGGACTCCCTTGGGGATGCTCTAGAGCGGTGGCCTTCTGATTTCGCTACCGCAATGCTACACCTGTCTATGCAACCTATGAGGCACAGAGGCTTATTGCTAGGTATGACAAGCGCCTTTGTTAGCCTCCATGAGCATGTGGCGTCTTCCGACCTCCTACCCCTCAAAATGAGACTTATTTTGCAGGGTATTATCGTTCGAGAGCAAGAAAGTTTAAAGATCTGTAGAGATGAACTGTCTGACGATGGACAGGAATATGGTGACTTTGCTCGGGGCTTTATGCTAGCGAAACGGGCGATCTTGCAGTGCTTTGAATAGACAATAGATTTAATAAGAATACATGCTGCAATTTCTGAGACAGTATATCTAGGGGCGATGAGCCTGTGAGCTAGTATCAATTGTTTCAAGATTGAAGAGGTTGAATCCTACAAATGAATGTTTCATTGCTTCACATATGGACGCAGGCCATGCCAGTCAGTCTACTCTCGGGCATCATCCACAGGAGTGGGACCAGATATAGTATGGATCAACAGAAACCAAACCAACTACCAGGCTACCTATCAACGCCAGGGCCCAATATGTAAGTTACCACAGCCAGAACAGACAAGCGAATGTGCTGTGCTCGTCCCTCTTGGTGCATTCTTCAAATCATCAAAGATGAATTCCCTACTGTGGATGCCACCGTAGAGGGCATTATAAACAGGGCTGTCTAGTCCAGAATGCACATTAGAAGAATAGATGTTCAATTTGAACTGTTTTGATACTGATGTCCTCATACAAATTCAGTTAGCATGGGCGGTATTACACCACCTATCAAGAAAGATGCCCTCCATTCCACCAGGCCAAAGTGCGAATCATTAAGCTCCTATTAATACTCATCTAAGAGCTATACTTAGCCATACACAATAATATTCTACGGTTCAGCACTTGGGACATGAGAGAAGCTCTAGAGGAGATGAAAACGAAGGCAAGGTGTAAGACATGTTATGTTAACCTATCCAAGTAATAGAGGTGAATGAGTATTATCCATCGCAATTACCAGAATGTGTTCCAGTGTGGCGGCCAAAAAAAGGCCCCATTATGTAGGTTACCACAGCCAGAACAAACAAGCGAATGCTTCGGACTAGGTCCCTTGGGCCCATTTTGCAAGACATCAAACATGAATTCCTTGCTGTGGATGCCACCATAGAGAGCATTATGAACAAGGTCGTCTAGTCCAGAATGCTTGCCACAGTTGTGGCATTGCTCTCTTTCACAGTTCATAATATTGGCACGCCTTGTAATTGGCACTGTTTCTCTTTGTCAGTATTATTAGAGTTACCATGCTGGCGTCTGGCAACTAACCTGTAGTTTCAAGCATACTAGCAATGTGAGCCCGCTCAGTTTCAGTAAGTTCCCAGTTGTACCAATTCTTGCCATCATCGTCGGTGATGACCTTTGAAGGCGAGGGTGTCTCCATGGCCAAGGGATGAACAGGAAGGTCTGAAAGCGCCTGCATGGTGATAGATTTATGAGGTATAGATGAGTGTTTACTTCTGAGGATGTTGAAAAGATGATTTCAGTAAGGGGAGCAGGTTGGTCGCTTCGGATCCTTTATATGCTGGGATGATGCACTAGATCAGGTGATGGAAAGATAAAAAACAAAGAGATCTATGATAACTATGTTGCATGACATAATATGGATGTGATAGTATATCCAGCCTGCAGTAGGGTTGTCGATCTCTTATAGAGACCCTAAATTAGCCAACAGCAATTCTGCAATATGATAGTGTATAAAAAGCTAGGTTTAGTTAATACCTAATATGCACCTGTGTTCACATGAACTATGTGATAATCTGCAATCCTATACATTAATCACATAAACTTTGACTTTATACATACATCTTCAACTCTTTATTAGTCACACAAAAGCATTGCTTGAAAGGGTTTCAGCTAAAAGAATAGAACTAGAAAAAATATAGTGCTTCTGGACATACCCACTTTCAGCCCGCCACAGCACAGCAGTCGCCGATGTGGGGTAGTTGGAAGGTCGAACTAGGTACATTATCTTTTTCCCTCACCAAGATAGTAGGAATAAAGTTCGGTAATGACGTAGCTTGACTGTGTTTGGGAGATCTTTGTCTTGCGGGTGAGCTGCTGGAGGATTCATCTGAAGTGTAGATAGATCATCTTCAAATTAGGTACTCACACGTGTATTCCCACAGAGTTGTGTGCTATGCCAGCCATGATCAACAGAAGATCATTACCCCACCAGTTCTATTCAGTTCCTTGTTTGTCTACAAGGTTTTGAGGCCTGAATTCTGTACGCCGCTAGTAGCCCCGTGTTTATATAGATTAATGCTTACTTAATTGAGAATGGATACAGCAAGGTTACACTCGCTCAATAAGTCTTCCATATCTCTGAGATTGATCAACCTCATCAGTAAGCCGCTGAGATATTCATGATATCATGATCAGCCTACTAATCAGCGTGGTGACAAGTGAGCCGGTAATTGATCTACAAGATGACGAACTGGGTGTTAAAATAGTAGGGATGAACTGCTTCCATCACCACATCTGGGTAGGGTACATAGATCGCCTAGATAGATACTCATTTAAGAAGAATCAGACCTTCATTGCTTTTTCTGAACTGCATACAACATCATACCTCAGTGATTTCAGAACCTTCTCATCCGTACCAATTAACTATTCTTACTGTTGGCAGTGAAGAAGTCAATGAATCCTCAGCAATTTTAATTTGACTAATTAGACTACTGGAGTGATCTCATGGCTCACCACTAAATCACTCTCCATTTACAAGGATTCTAGGCTAATTTCCAACATTTAATTCCTTTACTCCAACTGTTTTAATACCTATATTCACATATAAATTCAGTTAGCGTGGGCAGTATCACGCTGCCTATTAATGAAAGATCCTCCTGTTAGAGGCTAAAGTGGCAATTATTAAGCACATAATAATACTCATCTAATAGATTTGATTAACCATACATGATATTATCTACATGTTGGTACAGGGACTGATGTGTTACAGCTACTTCAGAGAATATCACTGATTTTACCAGGGATGAACCTGACAAAGCAGGTAGTTCCTTGAGTAAGTGAACTCTCTGATTAAGAGCCCTCATGTAGGGCCTGCAACGATTATGTGCTATGGAGCTTACTTTACTGCTACAACTACATATAGACATTCAGACATGAAGCGCAGGCTCAATCTACGACACTGAAGAAGTCAACACCTGATTTGATCTGGGCATATTGGCTATTAGAATATTAGAACACTAGAATAATCAACTTTATGCATATATAAGACTAGGATATCTGGTTTGTTAGCAAAAATAGGGCTGTTCAGGATGGTAGTTCGACAGTAACCCCACAACGGAACCCACGTTCTCCTTACCCCACCACACCGTTAAGCTTATTTTAGCTTATATAATGGGTTATGTAACATTTTTTTTTATGTTTGAATTTTATAGACATCCCAGCGAATATCGCCGATGCTTTCAGATAGTCCAATCGAAGTTACCAAACTATATCTCAACAAGCCAACAACGTAGCAAGTCCTGATACTCGTAATTTCCTATAGCAAAATATTTCGCTTCTTTGAACTCAGTGTCAGTTTACCATCCAATTGATAAGGATGAGTAGACTGCTACTCATCTAAGCGCAGGCATTAACCCCCTCGCTGTAAAATATCCTCCATCAACCGCTCATTGATTGGTGTTGGTACTCCCACCTCTTTTCCTCTGCGGACCCAGTACCCATTAATGAACCGAATCTCCGTCTCCCGGCCGGTCCTCAGATCCCAGACCATCGAGCACGTTGTTTTCGCCGTCTTGACCAAGATATCATTCACGGTTCCTTCAAGTCTATCAACAGAGAAGCGCTCCCGGACATTGGGAACATTCCGCAGCTCTGGCAATGCCAGCACCACATTCGCAATCTCCGTGAGTATCTCCCTTCTTATTTCCGGTAATGTAAATAAGAACCCATTCTGAGCATCATGCAACGCGCAGAGGGGATTGCAGAAAGCGTTCACGGCCAGCTTCTCGAGCTGGATCTGGAAGGCTTCACTGTAGGGGTATGCGGTTGCGTTGAGGCGGGGCGACTGGGGTAGGAGGGTGAGGAGGTAGTCCGGCTCAGCGGCAGGAGTAGGATCAGGATTGTCGCGAGGGACCAGCCCGAGGGAAATTGCTGCGGCTCCGGTGTGAGTGACATGGAAGGGCCGGTTGAGTGTCACCCCGTGGGAAACCACCCCGACGATGTAGGTAGGCCTGGTCGCCGGATCGGGGAAGAGGGAGTCGTTGACGGCGTCGATGATGCCGCAGCCGTTCTGGAGGAAGAGGATTGTGGATGTGGCGGACAGGCGGTCCTTGAGGGCGCGCAGCGCAGTGAGCGTTTGAGTGGTCTTGACGGTGACGATCAGGTGGCGGATTGTATCTGATGTGACGGTGGAAGTTGGAAGTGAGTACCAGCTGCCTGATCTGTATACTTCCACATCGTATCCTGTGTGACCGACGGATTGGCCGTCGACTGTTTCCAACAGGATCCGCTTGTTGTTCCTAGTGTAGTCTTCGTGTAGAGATTCGCGGTGAAGCAGCAAAGTGACTGCTGGCCTTTGGGGGATGTCTAGCAAGCCATGAGCGGTAAATGTGCCGATACTTCCTAGTCCAAGAATATGCACCCTTGGTGGAGGGGATGAGGCTGTCTGAGAGAGCATATGAGAGTATCGTTTGGTCCTGAAGGCTCCAAACTGATTGACCCAGTGATTGTTTAGAGAAGGTCTGAGTGCAACAATGGTCAATCGACGATGCCACATGATATGCACATTCAATAAATACAGTATATCTGTTTCTAGTCTCTAAAAAGATTTTTGTTATAGAATAGGTGTAATTTAATCAAGTCTGGTGTTTTGTCCCAGCATTTCGTTGCTCCCTTTGATTTTCTTTTCCACGCCCTATGTATTTTTGCCACGTTTTCAGGGTGCGCCCTACGCCATACGCCCTACACCCTACACCCTACACCTTCACCTTACACCCTACACTCTACACCCTTCTGCAAAAAGGTTTTGTGATACACAGACTAATTAGTGAAAACTACAGTATCAAAGTAGATTATGTTCAATGCCTAGACACAGAAGTGCAGAATCAATCAAAGTACAATATTCGCGCCCTACACCCTTCTTATACACCCACGCCTTATTCAGTGATGCAGCTGGCAGGGCATATGTCCTTCTAATTAATGTGACTTAAATTCAATTTCCTCATGAATAGATTCATACTTCAACGATCTTGTAATCACTTTCCCGCAAACTGAACCTTGATCAAGAAAGGCACGCTTGAGAGTCAACACACTTGACCAGCACATGCCCGCGAAGAGACTTCACGCAAAATGAGACCAGAAGACTTTCTACCCCCCTCAGTTTTCCGACTGACAGATAACAAGCCCTTCGCACCTCAACCTGCCCAGCTCGACGCCTCCAAAACCCGAGTGTCCCTGACCAAATCGCCCAAACCGGTTCCTCCCTCCAACGCCCCCGAACTCTCCGGCCACAATATTTTCACAGACCACATGGTCTGCGCACGCTGGACGGCCTCATCCGGTTGGGAAGATCCTGCCATCCTCCCCCACGGTCCTCTAACAATACCCCCATCCGCCAGCGCTCTGCACTACGCAACCGCCTGCTTCGAAGGCATGAAAGCCTACCGCGGACACGACGGCAAACTCCGCCTCTTCCGACCCCAGTACAACGCAGCACGCATGCTCGCGTCCGCCACCCGTGTCTCGCTCCCCTCGTTCGACCCGACCCAACTCCTGCACCTCATCCGCCAGCTCTGCGCACTCGACGCACCGAGGTGGTTACCCGCTTCCGCGGCGGGGTCATCCCTATACATCCGGCCCACGCTGGTCGGCACAGACGACAGTCTGGGCTTCCAGGTTCCCCGCGAAGCTCTTCTGTATATAATCATCTCGTACTGGCCGAGCCCCGCTGCCAGCGGGGCGGGGCTGCGCCTGTGGGCGAGCGACTGCGATATTGTCCGCGCGTGGCCCGGCGGCTCTGGATCCGCTAAGGTGGCTGCGAATTACGGGCCCTCGATCTTGGCGCATAGCCATGCGAGGCGGAAGGGATGTGACCAGGTGCTGTGGCTGTTTGGGTCTGACGGGTGGGTTACGGAGGCGGGGTCTATGAATATCTTTGTGATCTGGAGGACTCGTCAAGGACAGCTGCAGGTTGTGACGCCGGGCCTGGATGATCATACGATTCTGGCTGGCGTGACGAGGCAGTCTGTTCTTGACCTTGTAAGGGAGCGGTTGTCTGGGGTGGCGGAGGTGAGTGAACAGGGGATTGAACCGGTTGAGGCGCTCGAATGTACGTTCACCATTCATGATATCGTCGCGGCTGCACGCGAAGAGAGATTGTTTGGTTTGTTCGCGGTTGGAACGGCTGCGTCGGTGGTGCCGGTCCGTGAGATACTCTTCAAGGAGGAAAGGATCGTGATTGAGTCGAGCCAGTCGCTCTATGTATCGCTGCTGCAGGGGTGGATGGCGGATATTACCTCTGGCAGAGAGCAGAGTATGTGGACGGAGGTAGTGGATGAGAGCAGCCCCTAGGTAGATTAGAATAAGCATCCGGTGATGGATGGCCGAACAGCCCGCGGGAAAGATGAATAAGATGGACTCCAACTTTTATTACACGAATGAACTTCGGCATTACATTTGCAACCCGCGAGCAAGCTCTGGCAGTTGCAGGTCATCCTGCATAGACTGGGGGGTTTCGTCGCAGTGAAGCCTTCGAAAAGTAGAAAGCCACTCGGGGTTGTCGGCGATGGTCTGATTCCACGAGTCCTCCGAGTCATATAGTAAGCGCCTCGACTCCTGCTGGAACATTTCATCGGTAGGAATAATCCCCTGCTTCATCTGCTGCTGAGCATAGCGGCTCAAGTGCAGCGTCAATACTTGCGTGAAGGAGCTGAGCTGCGCCGCTGAAAGACCCGGCGCCAGGGTCTGGAGAGGCTGGCTGGGAGCCACTGTGGCAAGATTCAAGGCTGCTCCTTGATCACCGGGCGAGTCCCAACGGGCGCGAGAGGAAATCTGCGTAAAGTGGTCTCTTGCATCTGAATTCGTTGCAGAGAAAGGTATGACACTCCGCGATTCTGGGCCGATGAGGTATGGCGGCAGCGCGTTGACCACCTGCGCGGCGAATTCGGCTGGGAACTCATGCTCTCCTCGCCACTCGTTCATCGTAGCGCCTTTTCGAAAATGCTCCCCTAGATGCTCGATGCGTTGCTCCCACATGCTCAAGCGCTGGTCACAGAATCCACACCGAGAGCTTACAGCACTTTGTCCGATCTTCCAGTCATCCAGGCAGGGCGGGGGATCGGCATTGTGCACCAGCCGTAGATGCTGCACCAAGTGGTCCTTGCGGCGGAAGGAACGGCGAGCGCCAGAGTCACTTTCGCAGGCCTTATGCGCGTGTTGATCCAGATGCTGGGAGTCGGGGTCCACAGCGTTGCAGAACGCGCAGTAACTTGTCAGCGTCACAGGGCAGTCAACGGTCGTTCCAAACGGCGCACAGTACCACGCCTCCAGATTGATGTGTAAAGATTTCTCATGGCGGGCCCAGTCGTACTTGCTCTTGAACCTATCACAGCAAAAGGTACAGCAGTACCGACGTCGCTTCTCCGTCACATCGCGATTTCGTCTCATGGATTTATCCACCCGGCGCCGCCGTCGCCCAGCCTGGACCCCGGTGGAATCCTGAACAGACGGACGGGATTGCACCGACTGCTGTGACGCCCTGGACGACCCGCTAGACTCTCCACTGGTCGTTGAGGCCGCACGCCGATAGTGTCGGAACGCGTTGACAAAGTCTGCCGGATCATCCGGGTTGTCATTACCTGGCAGTCCTAACTGCTGCGCAGGCGTCTGTTTCAATGCATCTAGAATGGCGGCCATCGACGCAGGCTCATCCTCAGGCGGCGACTCACGCCATCTTTCCATGGGATTTAGCGTGCTCGCATTGGGAATGACGATCGGAGCGGCCTCTCTTCCCGAACTCCGCGTTAGATAGCGACTTCTGCGTCGAGGAAGCCCGGCACTTGGTGCAGGAATCCGGTTGCGTGTACCCCAGGACGGGCCTGTACTTGAGCCAAGAAGCTCAGAGGGGACTAGGCCATTGGTAAAGGATTGCTGCGGACTTGCAGAGACAGCATTGTCTGTTTTCTGTGTTTCTAGCTCATGCATCAACCAGGATGGTAGGCATGGGTCATTGTAAGCTTCCATGAACAACATCGAGCCGGAAGAGCCGTCCTGAGCGGAATCATGGGACAGCGGCAGCGATGTGGAAGACTGAGTCAACTGAGAGTCGCGCACTAGCTGCTCAAGACATGGGGGGCCGGCAGTCGACTGATGAATAGATAGAGTCGGATCAAGCAAGCCGTGATCGTCTGGATCGAAACTTCCTAGTCCAATGAGTAAGTTCTTGTTACTGGAATCAAGACTCATACCACGGGACTGACCATGATCATCTGCCTGATCATGCTCATCCAACGAGTATGGATTGGGCCCATCCAGCCCCCTAAGGTTTGTTCTACTCATCCTGGAACGAGAGATTTGACATGTATACCCTCGGACATAGGTATGTTCGTAGATGTGGCCTATTGTGATAGCTTGAGACTGTCACAGAATGCATCAATATAGTTGAATCGGGAGTGGGTGGCGTTTCGCTGCATCTCCAGGTGATAACATAATCAGCATCTAGCACTTACATAAGCCGAGGCCTATCTGTCGACCATTACTTTATGGCCTGTTGAGGACCCATTATTCTGGTCTCATTTCGGATGATGAGCTGTACAGAGTTTATATTACCTCTATTGCCTAATCCTTTCAGCAAAGAGTGTTATCTTGCCGAGTCGCCATGTTGGCAGCCATTAGCGCTGCAGCATCCTCCCACTATACACTGGCTAGTTGACCATGCTATATGGCAGTTTGAAAATAACTTAATGATTTCTCACAGATCAGCATGAATCATATTTCGTCGTTCTTAATAGGCTCTCTGCTCAGTGTTTAATTGGCAATCTGGCGTACTGATTATATAGCTCTAGTTCATGGTGTTTCCCCTCCTAAGTTGGGAAATAACCAAAAGTCCAGCTCAAGAGTACCTGGAATATGTATGATCATTTTCAGTGTGACATTAACAAAGCACCGCTCAAAATCTCTGTTATCGGGCAGCTGTAACTAGTGCTGATATTACTGTTGGACTCTAGATAAAACGCACAATATCGTTCAACAGTCAGCACCGGTGTATATCAACCCTTTTATCAAAAGTCACTGGATAATATCGCAATGCAGGCTGTTATATACAGCGTCCTGGCTCTCTAATGTGGTTCATGTTCCCTCCCTACCCATGACTTGAAGAGGTTGCCCTTCGTATATGTGTGAGCTAAGTAGTGAGGTTGGTACCCATTCCCAATAGGGCGTGGATGCAGGGCGTAGGTGCCAGACATGTGTAGCGAATAGCAAGCCGGCAAAAGAAAAAAGGAGGCCGGAAAAATAAGATTATTGTAATCCATCCCATATTTTTCACCGGTTGATACTAAGTTGCCGAATGTGAAGAAATCCCGTAGGCAGGGCGCGCGCCGTAGGGCGTAGTTAGGGCTAGAGTCGGAGATGTCCGAATATCGACTTCGTCCACTGCTTTTTTCGCAGACCCACAACTGTCCCATTACTCGTAATGAGTATTTGTGTCTAGGTACTCTTGGAATTTGTTTCGTCGAGACACTGCAACCCTATATCTCTTGCCAAGACTCAAGAAAGGAAACGCCAATTTCCCTCGTCATGCATAACAGTACGTGGTCGGAATTTGCATGGCCTGCAGTCCTGTATGTAGCTGGATACATGAGTAGCCCAGTATCGTGCTGCTTGGTCTGAGTTTATAGCGCTCATGCTGGTGATGTCCTGCTTTGAAAAATGGGGTTACCCTACACCGATGCTTCATGGCTTCAATATCTGGCGCGGATCATCAGGGAACTATAACCCCACCAGATACTCATAGCAGCAGTTGCAAATTTGTATACTAAATACTAATTTAATGTCCTAGCTTTTGCAAATCTAGGCACCATGTTTGTTGCACATGGATCTGGCAATGTCTCAGAGTGAGAGCTCCGGTGTCCACACCTCGAGTGATGGGCTCCAGTTCTGCGTAATTATGGTTTGACAGACTGATTACTCCTAGGCAGCCAAATTAAGACAAGCTTCCCAAATACTACAGACAGCGAGAATGCGCCGCTAGGAAAGGTACGAACTCATATATCGTCGGGTGATGTTCTGACAGGAGGGTCTGGAATACAATTCCTTCTCGTAGACACAACTGTCGCAAATTTTCCCAATGGCCTTTCCTCAGAAGGATTGTGACCGTTCCATTGATTCGGTTGTGCACACTACTATCCCGTATCCCAATAGACACCATGTTCCCTCCTCGGACTCGGTCTACGGCCGAATGCAAAGACCTCCTCACGACTCGGATAGGTCTCGTACCCAGGAATTCTCTCCTTACGAAACAATGCTAAAGTACGCACGCTCAAACATAGATCCGGATAACAGGGAAGTGGTGTGCGGTCCTCTGCTGAACTATCGACATATGGAGGAGGATCGCTGGAACGGGAGCATCCTGATCGTGACGAAGCAGCAAGGAGAAATCCCGCGGTCATCGCCAACTCTGCTTCTCCGCCGATCCATTGACGAGGATTATGCATCTCGGGCGGAGGCTTATACGCATGTTAAAGGATCTCTGCTATACTCTGACAGCAGGTGCAGCTTCTGGAGATTCGATATAAGTGTGACGATGGAGTCAACGGAAAGCAGGTGGGAATACACTATCGCAGAAGTGGACTTTCAGCATAGAGTCAGAGGACTCACCAATTCCTTCGTCGTACCGTCTTGCAACGAGTCCATGCGCATCATGTTCTATTCTTGTAACGGGTGGTGCGACGGAGCAGAGGAAGGAGAATGGAATCATCTTTCTCTTTGGAAGGATGTGCTGAGACGTCATGATAAAGCACCTTTTCATGTTATGTACGTGTTGCTTGGTCAGGAGGATGATACCGAGTAAACGGCTGACTGGCAAACTGCAGGATTGGCGGAGGCGATCAGATTTATAATGATGAAATCTATCAGTCGTGAGTTGTCTCCCAGACCTGTCAAAGATCTTTGTACGTGACTGTGATCTTACATGTTGATAGAGGTCCATTGCTGGAATGGACCAAGATTGAAGATTCCCGCGAGAGACTACGATATCAATGCTCAAGGGAGCTCCAGCAAGCCTGCGATGACTGGTACCTTGATAATTACATTCGCTGGTATGTTTTTGGTTTTGAAAGCAGTTGGTAATCTGAATCTGATTGGGACCTCTCTCCTACAATAGGTACAATACGGAGCCTTTCGCCTCCGCCCTGTGCCAAATCCCGTCACTCAATATATGGGATGATCACGACGTGCGTACAATCTGTTGCAACATGGACCAGAAAAAAGACTTAATATTATGCAGATCATCGACGGATTTGGATCATATGCCAGAGAAACGATGGAGTGTTCTGTACGTGTTACACCCAGACGTCCGAATCGTCACGGCACGCCCTATGTCACGGACCCTGCTCACACCTAGAGACCAGGTATTTCAAACCATTGGTGCTCTTGCTCATAAATACTATATGCTGTTCCAGCATCATCTTCCTCCTACCAAGTGGGACTCGCACATTCACGATCACGAACCGCATATTGCAGACCCCAGACCCGAACCACAATATGTTCTGGGAATGAAACCTGGGGTACGTTCGGTCACCTTAAGCACATCACCACCTTGTACTAATCCTCCCAATTAGCCCTACATTGCGGCTCATTCGCATAGCATCTTCACACGGCTGGGTGCAAGAATGGCGTTCTTAGGAGTAGATGCTCGGACCGAGGTAAGTGAGCCATGTCCTTGGGCTACTCTAGAAACATTGCTCACGTCGTCACCACCGTCATCCGGCAGAGGACCCGTGAGCGAACAAACTACCCCGAGACTTATGACCGTCTCTTTTCGCGCGTGGACGAAGGACTGCACGCGGCAGCGCGATCCGATCGGCCGATTAGGCATCTGATCTTGCTGTTTGGCATTCCTCTCGCTTATCCGGTAGGTCTCATCACGACTTCACGTTCTGGGACCCATATCTGACCATCAGCTAGCCCCTCACCTGGCTTGAAACCGCCTTCGAAGGCTCTGCCGGCCGTTCGTTCCAACGCCTGAGTCAAAAGCTAGCCATTGGTAAGGCCACAAGAATGACGAAAAAGCACAAAAAGGCTGAGATAGTATACCGCGCAGGTGAAAATGCGATTAACCGGTTTGACGGTGCCATCGAGCTTCTAGACGACCTCAACGACCACTATACGTCCACCTCCCATCAAGACGAGCGTCGATATCTGATAGAGCGGATCCAGTCCATCTGCGCGGCGCATTCCGTCCGCGCCACAATCCTAAGCGGTGACGTCCATCTCGCCGCCGTGGGTCGATTCTTCACCAAGCATAAAGGCCATATTCCCGAAATCGAGGCGGACTTTCGATTCATGACAAACATCATCTCATCGGCGATTGTCAATCAACCGCCCCCCGAGGCGGTGGCCAAGCTGATTTCGCACGCCGACAAAATCAGAGAGCTGAACGCGGAAACAGAAGAGACTCTTTTCAGGATCTTTAGAGAAGACTCCCGGGATTCCAAGCAGGAGCCAAAAGGAACCGCCGTGGCCATGCCCCGCCGCAATTTCACCATCATCACGGAAAACTCGCCCAATAACCGGGGCCGCGACACCCATGGCTTCAAACTATCCCTGCGACAGTTCCTGGCAAAGCATGGACACCGGCCTCTGCATTTGGCAGAAGCCAATGCGGGCATACGACACATTGCTGCTTCGGAGCAACATGGCAAAGGCAACGATGGGAGTTTGGATGTGTGTATATGTGTGGAAATCGATCACAGAGACACCTGGGGCAAGACGGAAGGCTACGGCTTTACCATTCCGGTGCTTGATTATCATGGACCTGCAGCTCAATGAATCTCGAAGTAAGCGTGTTGATGCTATGTACACTGCAACTCTCCATTGCTGCCAGAGCCTCGATATTTTGTTTCCATTCCGACTTTTAGGGGCAGGGTTCACCAATCTTCGCTGAAATATAATCCTTTTTTGCAGATACTGGGCAATTGGCTGAAACAGATGAGGAAAGGGCTGAGTACGAACGTTATTGGCCATTTGAATGAGCTCTGTTATAGCGATGCAACGACGTGATCGTGAGGAAACGCCCAGATAACTATGGACAACACGGAAAATGTACCTCATTTTACTGATAGAATATTCACCGAGTAGACCAGACCTAAAGAATTCTCCAAGATCTAACCTCTGCCGAGTCCTCCAACTCCTCCGACAGTTCGATTGCCAGATACTCCATCACATCCAAATACCGGTCCGCCGCAGGGGCGAGGAAGCCATTAGTAGTATTCTTATTATCTGTGCAAAGTAGTGTCTAGTATTAGACTATGGTCACCCATGCACATAATCAGCCGGCAGTCTACCCGGCCAAGCCCTAGCAAGCTGCCACATTTGACATTGCCCAGCAGATAACTACTAACTGTTTGGAGCTACCTAGTGCAAGTCCTGATACACTTGCTAATACGGCAAGCCATTGGTACAAACCAAAAAAAAGCGTCTTTTGGTTTATGTACGGCTGCCAATTCCGCCTAAGTAGAATTACCATTTCATACCATTTGGTATCCCTACTAAACGCCAATTCATCATAAAGTAGGCATATTGACTCATCACATAGTAATGACGACTTGATATCGCGATTCAATATTGGTACCAGATGGTGATTCAATATCCCTACTGTGACGATTCAATATGGTTATTTGATATCCCTACTATATGGCGATTTGATACGCCGATTCAATATTCCAACTATATGGTGATTCGATTATCCCGACTAGATGGCGATTTGATATGGCGATTCGATATTCCTACTGCATGATGATTTAATATGGTGATTCAATATCCCTACTACATAGTGATTTTGACTTCCTATAAGTATATTTAAGCAATAGTTATATTATCACACTGATCGCATATACCTAAGGGAAAAGAAATTAAAATCTAAAACCAGTTAGGTGCTTATTACTGGCAGAAAAATTATAAAATCCCATTTTACTAATAATTAATTTATGTTTTTATTGGCTTTATCCCAACGGCTTGCCGTATGCTAACATGTCGCAAAAAAAGTACTGATTATGTACAGCATACGAGATCCGTTAATTAGATAATTCCACCTCTTCATCTCTCAGTAGCGGTAAAAGTATCATTACATAGCTTATAAGTAAATCAATATCGACGAGACCAACATAGAATCACAGCAGAGACGTCCACTTTTGACGACCGCCACACTTGTCCTGTAAGAGGCAAATGAAGGCTACCATGGCCCTCAGACTAGGATATAAGCATAGCTACAAAAACAGACAGGAGCATGACGATACTCAGGGATGACCAAGCGCGGAATGTTGATCCCTCACTTGTCGGGGAGGGGCTTGGACTAGAAGTAGAAGTGGAAGTTGGACTCGAAGTCGAGGTCGCCGATGAGCTGGTGCTTGAAGAACTAGAGCTGGAAGAAGTTGACGATTGCGAGCTACTGCTGCTCGACGAGGACGCACTGCCCGGTGTTCCTAGTATGCCACCACCAACAGCAGTAGGAACCGTACTACCTCCTGCACTTTGTGCTGCTGACTTGAATGCAGCAAGTGTATCTGGTCCATTGCTTCTGCGGGTAAGATACACAGTCAGAGACGTGTTTGTCCTCTCGGCGTGCCATACTTACGGTGGATTGATGACGCCAACCATGCCAGCCTGGCAATGTCCAATTTGGCCGCAGTAGTACCAGATAGGGTTGGTATCGTTAACAGTCAACGTGAATACCTCATTTGTGGTTGGCATAAACCCGCTGAAGATACTCGACTGGTTAAGCGGCTGGCACGGTTTTGAAAAGGCAGCCTGAACCACTGAATGGTTGCCCGGGAAGAAGTGGAACTCGACTTTGCTTCCTGGGGAGACGGAAAGAGTATCTGGACTGAATGTGAAACCATTCTGCCCTACATTGACCGTTTGGACCGCACCCGCAGCTGAGGATGATGTGGTTGATGGTGCACTCGAAGTTGACGATGATGAGGTTGTTGATGAGGATGATGAGGATGATGTGCTGCTTGGTGGGCCACCATACTGGGCATAGATGAGAGGAAGCAAAGAGATGGCGAGAATGAGATTGAGCGCTCCGGCCATTGTTCGTATGCACTATTTGAACTTGTCCTATGTGGTGAAGGAGATTCTTCCATTCTACGTATGTGGTTCTAGTGCTGATTTATAACTTTGCAGGAACTAGTACTAGCAGTCGCATAGGTGCTAAGCCCTCTCATCATACTCCAAGACCTGAATACATGCGGTTGCGTCATGACTGGCGCGAAAGCCAAAGTAAGAGTTATTCAAATGGCAGTATACGGGATACCTCGCCACTTTACATAGCCCCGCAGAACTCAGATCACAGGGCGCGAGCTACAGCCTCAATCCCCGGAAGCAGTAAATTAGTAGGAGTACTAAGCTATTTTAGGGTTGTAGTGCAGCGACGACTTGGTAGGCCAACGTCACCTTCAGTGTTAATAGGCTGGACTAAAAGCCTCTAGGACAAAGGTACGTTAAGCTTCGTATATAGGTAGGGTCATGCAGCGATGCTAGAACCCCCGTCAATGTGCTTGTCGCCACAGTGGCGCTCAACTCCGTCGGGATCCGACCATCACAAACTCAATTGTAGTTGTTGTGATGGGTTATGTACTTTGACAGTACGATTGCGTTTGTGCTTCCCTGTCTACCGTGGAACGTTGTGTTCTCGCCGGGATCTACATCAGCCCACCGGCAATTATCATCAGATTGGAAAGTTACTTTTTTAGCTACTGCGGCGTTCTCATTCGCTTTTCAATGCGATTGTTCCTCATATGGCTGTGCTGCGCCGAGATCGTCCGGATTCGATCATATCCAAAGTTTAACATACAGAAGGTTTGCACTGCCCGTCTTCTGCGTCATTTTCTGATGGAAGTGAGCTCGACAAGCAATATTCGCCTTGATTGGAGCCCTTCAGAAATGGTAACCCCACTGGTGCATGAATGCAAAGCCACCAGCTAATCACATTTGGAAGGAGGCTGCAGAAGCTCACATGTTCATACTGCTGGCTGAATCGACGCAAAGTGAGCATCAACTTCCAACAGGTGTTGTATTTTTCCATCCTCCTCCCACCTTCACCTATCCTCGTGGAAACTCAATTAGGTCTACTCCAGTATTCGGATACAATGACTATCATATACTGTCTGTGCTGGTGGCTCATCGTATGCAACCACGCGCTCGGCCAAGTACAGACTTTTACTCCTCCGGCAGAAAATGGAATAACATACAGCGTAAATGTCCCTGAATCAACTGCCAGCTCCGGCTCCGGGCCCATTTTCATTCAGATGCGATCTACAAAAACAGTGCAGTGGTTCGCATGGGGTCAAGGAGCCGTGATGCAAGGGGCCAATATATTCGTCGTCTATGCGACTCAGAATAATATCACCGTCTCGCCGCGGTTGGGAGTCGAGCACGTCGAGCCTCTTTTCAACCCGCAGGCTCAACTTTCAATCCTCAATGGTAGCGGAATCAGCAATGGAATCATCACGGCGAACATACGGTGCGATAGCTGTATCACCTGGCCAGGTGGCCATGAGGATGTGACGAGCACATCAAGCCCGTGGGTATGGGCTGTGAAAGAGGGTCCCATGCTAGATTCAGACAGCGTCTCGGCGACTATTGTTATGCATGATGTCTCAGGTGTTGCAACCGTCAACATGAAGCAGGCAACCGGTGGCAGCTCCGAGAACCCGTTTCTCGGTGGATCAGGAACAAATTCCAGCTCCGCGCAAGCCGGCCAGACCTTCAACTCGCAGTCCGTCTCGAAGAAAAGAAAGGCACACGCAGTCCTCATGATCGTCGCTTTTGTTGTCTTCTTCCCCTTGATCGCCCTTGGAATCCCTCTTTTCCCGTCCTCCAGGACAGTGGTTATCCACGCCTGGCTACAGATCAGCACCCTTGCGATGGTAATCGCGGGATTCGGCGTCGGCATCTCAATGGCCAGAAGCCTGAACCTCGTGGGCTACTACCATCCCATTATTGGCATTGTAGTTGTTTCATCCCTGATCCTGTTCCAGCCAGCGATGGGTCTCGTGCAGCATTGGTACTTCCGCCGAACAGGGAAGAAGAGTATCGCCGCCTATGCTCATCGGTGGTTTGGTCGTACGTTTATCACTCTAGGTATTATCAATGCGGGGCTTGGCTTTCGTCTCACGGGGATTGGGACCTCTATAGCTCCCACTGGGGCGGTAATTGCATATGGGGTGGTTGCTGGGGTTGTCTGGATTAGTTATGCGTTGATAGTTAGTTTCCTCACTTACCGGGCGCGTCGATCTCGGAGCAAGTGACTAACGCACCCTCTATGTGTATACTGATCTCACTAAGATAATATTTGAGCGCATCGGGCTAATGCAGTAGAAGTTTGCACGTTAGTTTCAGCTCAATTGCTCCATTGCGATGGTTTGAGCGGATTTGCGCATTTAATCTGCTTCTAAGTCTTGGTGCGGGGAACCAGTGTGGAGCTACATGATTTGTGAATAATGACTACGGCGACAGCCTCTCCTTCAACGATGTGCAGTCCTCGACTCAACTGTCCACTGCCTAGTCATGACACGCACCATCCTGCCATCCTGACGAGGGCCGTGCATAGCGTCCCAGACACAGTTCGCCCACTACAATGCCTCCGAGGACCGCGCAGAACACCCCAATATTGAACATCATCACCGCCAGCATCCTAAACGAGTTCAGCAATTAGGCATCGACGGCGCGGGAAAGGGTGCTGTGCACTTACAATGCGTAGCCAACCAGCGCCCGAAGTCCCTCGAGTAGCGACCTCGTTCCATCCCGTCGCCAACTCCAGCGTCTGTACGCGCTCCACCAGCGGCGCTTTGCCAGGGGCCCTTGTGGCTCCTGAGTCAAGGTGGAGGACAGTCCATCACGTGTGCGTTCGGGATCCGGCCCCAGGAACGGAGCCGACGGGAAGGTCGCCTCGTGGTCGGGATCGGTTTCGGCGACCTTCATGTATTGAGGCAGCGGACTCAGACGATCCTTGGGAATGGCATGTCGGCGTCGGCGGGCAGTGGCCAGCTGCAGCTTGGGTACTCCCCTCTCAATCGGTTCGGTGTGCTTCACGTCGAGCTGAAACTTTAGCACGCCCAGGAAGCGGTTGAAAATGGCCAGGGCGAAAAGGAACATCAACGTAAAGGTGTAGGAGGTTGCTGTGGTAGTCGTCCAACCGCGGAAGAAGAGTGTAATCTCGGTGCTGGTGTCGAAGACCGTTGACATGGCCATTCCTTTGCTGTGGTCACTGTGGTCCATATTGTCGAAATTGTACAATCCCAACCCACCAAAGAAGGGCCAGCGACGCGGTCCTAGATATCACATTCAGCGGTTATTAGATTGGCTGCCAAGTCGCCTCAGCCCGATGATGATCCATCATGAGGTCCCTGTGAACACGAAGCCGACAGACGTAGGCGCGGCAGTTTGAGCAGATTCTTATGAAGGCTGAGCATAACCCACCCCGACAGTATCGTGACTCTGCGAGCCCAATTGGAACGCGACTACTCGATCAGATTCTGCCCTCCACGCTCTGCCGCGAGATCATATAAAGCCTTGTCTCGGAACTTGACTCTAACTAAAACATTCCATCTACCACGGCTCCGCCCACTTCTCTGGGACACTTTTGAACATGTACTGCACTACTATTTCTCCTATGTTAAAATGACCATCTAAACACCTTTCATCGAGTGGTTTCTGACTCGGTCAGCAAACATTTCCGACTTCTGGACCTAAACCCACTTGGGAGAAATGTGCGCATATCCCTGCGCTCCACCTTGAGATGGGCCAGTGGACGTCGGCTAAATAAATCATCTGTCCAAGTCTCTTGATTCAGAGAAGACGGACACATGCGTATCATTCAAGTTCCAGTATGTAGCCCAGGTTGCCTACAGGATTGCTTAGTATTGTTTCCACATGGATGATGACTGCATAGGACTGCGCAGATTTGAGCAAGTTACTAGACCCAAATAGTCGCACGCCGCACTTGTCTACTACCAATCGAGCGGCTTGTTGCTCGACGGTTATTATAGACAGGATATATTTGATTAAGGACACTTTGTTGCTCTCCGGATATTCTGCATCTCACTTCGTCGCCGAGGAAATGATTTATAAGTTGGTGCACTGGTGCCATCGCACTGGCTGTTCTTGATGTCGATCGCGACCGCAATACGAATATACAATGGGGGCAACCACTGAAAAGGAGGTCAGTACCCGAACGACAGACAACATCGAGGCCGCCTCCGACACGCCGAGTCTGGAGGAAAAGAATGAGAGGGAAATCATCGAGCATCCCGACGAGATCACACAAGATGCCCAAATTGGAGTGCAAAAAGCCGAAGCCACGGCCCTAGTATGGTCCACGACCGCCTTGTATGCCACATATGCCTGGTGAGTACGTCACAGAACCCGATCTTCTACCAGGACAGACTAGAAGCATACAAAGAAGAGAGGACAGACAATCGATTAACGGATCCCGTTGTATAGGATCTGGGTGTGCTTCTTTATTCTCGCCCTGCAATTCTCCATTAGCAACAATATGATCTATTACGCTTATGCAGGCTTCTCATCGGCTCCTCAAATCTCCCAGGCTTATATCCTCTCAACTATCATCGGTGGAGTGCTACAGCTGCCCATCGCCAAGACGCTCAACCTCTGGGGCCGGGCCGAGGGTTTTCTCCTTTTCGTCGGTGTCTTCATCCTCGGGCTTATCGTGATCGCCTCTTGCAACGGTCCCAATGGCTTCGCAGCTGGATACACGCTGTATTGGATCGGTTACACTGCCGTCAACTTCATCCTAGTTGTCTTTGTCGCCGATGCATCCGGTCTGCGAAATCGAGCATTTGCCTACGCATTCATTGGCACCCCGACCATCTGTACGGCCTTTGTCGGCCCGCTCGCCGCTCAGGCATTCAATACCCATTCCACGTGGCGGTGGGCCTACGGCTGTTTTGCCATTATTATCTTCTTCACCTTTGTGCCTCTTGCGCTAGTCTTCAAGTTCTACCAGCGCAAGGCTGAGAAGACGGGGGTGTTCTTCCGAACCCCCAGCGGCCGGACCCCTCTCCAGTCGCTCCTGCATTACTGTCAGGAGTTCGATCTCATTGGCGCCTTTCTCCTCATGGCCGCCTTTGTCCTGTTCCTCTTGCCCTTTAGCCTCGAGACCTACGGCTACAGCGGGTATTCCTCGGCAACCTTTATCAGCATGGTGATCATCGGCGTGCTGCTCTTCCCCATCTTCACTGCATGGGAGAGATTCTTCGCCACGACCGCTTTCATCAAATGGGAACTCTTCAAGAACCGGACTGTCCTCGGGGCCTGCATATTGTCCGCTGTCATTTTCTTCAACTATTACACCTGGGACCAGTATTACTACTACTACCTGCAGGTCGTCTACGACCTAAATACCTCCAACACCGGCTACATGGCACAAATATACAGCGTCGGCTCGACAGTCTGGGCCGTCCTCTTCGGCATCTGGATCCGCCAGACCAAACATTTCAAGAAGGCCTGCCTGTATTTCGGCGCTCCGCTGATGCTGCTAGGCGCCGGCCTCATGATCCACTTCCGCGGCACCGAGAGCAAGATCGGCTACCTAGTGATGTGCCAGATCTTCATCGCCTTTGGCGGGGGCACTCTCGTTATCGGGGACGAGATGGCCGTCATGGCGGCTGCGGACCGCGACAGCGTGCCCATGATGCTCGCCATGATCAGCCTGTCTGCGAGCGTTGGCGGGGCGATCGGCTACGCCGTTGCCGTGGCCATCTACTCCAACACCTTCCCGCAGGCTCTGCTCCGTGCGCTTCCAGATGACGCAAAGGCCGACTATGCTGCTATTTATCTTGGTGGTTCGACGGCGCAGCTCGTGTACCCGCCTGGCAGTGCGGCCAGGAATGCGATCAATCATGCGTGGACGGAGAGTCAGAAATATGAATGTATTACGGCTACTGTTGTTGTGGTCCTTGCGTTCCCGGCTATTGCTATGTGGAAGAACTATAATGTTGATAGGAAGCAGGTCAAGGGAACGGTTATCTAGTTCGGTCAAGTTGTTCAATTGTTGTAATATGCGATCATAGATGCCCATGGCTACCTTAGATGGATACTATCTGGATAGATAACCTGGGACCTATGATCGCTACCTGTCCTCATCGTCCCCTTAAGCTGTCCATGGGGTACTGTGGTCTGAAATGATCAAGCAGGTCTTCTCATAGGAGCACGTTTTCCCTGCCAAACTAATGCATGTTGAAAGGTTGCAGTCTCATTGCACGGTGCGTGCAGCCAGCGCCTCAGCAGTTAGGAGTCAGTGAGCTCATTACTTACATGTGAGATGCAGCAAAGTAGGGGCCATCCACTGTACCTAGATGATCGACCGGGAGGATCGTGCCCTGAAACGAACGTAGTGAGAGGAAGGGGAAAAGTAAACCCGCCTGCGACAGGTGTACCCACAACAAAGAGGGATTTCTATGTAGAAAGGCTATTTCCACGCGCGTTTCTCCTTCGTCAGTGGCCCATCTCCTTTCGTCTCTAGTATACCTTGGCATTTAGTTGCTGCAGTTTCTATGCAGGACTCTCATTCTTCATTGGGGGCTAGTCCACGAGAGCTCCACCTCCTTATTGCAACGACCCCATATACGATAGCCTTTCAACCAGATTCATACAATCACGTATAAGAAATGCCAGAGATAAACCATGTATGGAAACTTCGTATTGCTGTAAGTTTTCTGACATATCACATTTTGCTCATCGTCGTCTGACTGCTGCAACCCACGAGTGCTCGCTTTCTAAAATGGAAATGGCTTGCTTTCGTTTCTCTCTATGCGTTCAACCTCTTCTTCTCCTCCATCTCCTTTTCACGTTTCACACGCAATATTATCATTCAGTTTTGTCATGACTGTGTCAAATGAATAGATGGCCCTTCCAGTCATAGCTACCCTGCTTCTCAAATGGCGTGTGCCCAGGCACTTGATGAGACGCGTGTATACTTAGACTGTGGCTTCCTGCTTCGCGCCAACAGCCAGCTTGTTCGCTGTGATTCTTGTCAACTAGCTTCCTCATCAATTTTCCTTGAGACCCAAGGATCCTTGACCGCGGTCATTCTATTCTCGCGAATCACTATTATACTCGCTGTGGGCTTTGTCGTCAGTCATCACCACTTCGACGTCCATCATCACTGCGTCCCGCCGCAGGTCCAAAAACGATGTATATGAATTGAGATGGTTAGAAATACATTCATAAAATACAACCAGTGGCATGGGTACCTGCCAAGCATTTCCGCAGTCTCAATTAGCTGTGGAGCGGCCACATCATCCAAGCCCTGGAGCATTTAGTGAAATGTCATGACTGTTGTCCAGATTGCAACGTCTATTATGACTCCTCTGAGCGCAACTGCAAGAACATGATGTTACCCAGCACTACCCTTGCGTTAATGTGGTGACGGCTGGCGACTCGAATGAACCTACGTTGAAGAACTGTCGACGTATAAGCTGTCGACGCAGAGGCACGGTTGACGTCTGACCATCTACATTGTTTAAGTAGACCCTACCGATCTGAGCGGTTGAACTTAACAAAGTAATAAAATGACAATGCTTGCTCAGGTTGCTGCTCTCTGTGCCTGATAAGCTCGCAAGCGAGATGAAGCTGTTGAGGGTAGTGGTTTGATATGGCTGTGCCGTATCCTATGTATCGGCATAGCCCAGCATTGGCCCTATTACTCGTCAATGTCCAGTCCGAGCCTGTTATACTGGTTGACAAAGTCTTCAAACAGCTTGTTAAACGCCAAGAGATCCAAGCTGTTCAAGAGGTCCTTGTTATCCTCCTGCTCCACGTAGCAGAGCATGTTGTGGATGTCCCAGGTGACAGCTAGCAGGTACCTGCGTCTTCCACATCTTCTGGCTCCAAATTGCGTGCATCCAGAAACTCGTCGACCCTTCCCAACGTGCCGTCCTTTGTCTGAAAAAAGCCGTAAACCTTGGCACCAAGACCTGACTGACCGTAATCGTGACATAGCTTCGCCTCCTCGTGCTTGTTGGGGACTAAGTGCTTGAACACTTCGATTATTCTGTCGACTTCGCCGTGGAACTTGAGGAAAACCTTGCCATGTCCTGGATCTGCGTCACCCTCAGTCTTTGGTCGTTCTATCGTATAGTTTTGATTTACTCCAGCATTCTTTTTCACAACGAGTGTGCCTGGATCCATAATGCGCCACTCAGGGACAAATATTCCGACAATGTCTTTGATGGCAGTCATAGTTAATGGGCCATTTCGGGGCAGAGCCACGGGTACGCTTGTGCAGGTTACCATCCCGTCGTGTAGGTGTGGGAGAATGAAGAGCAACACAAAATTTGGCCGCGAAGGTGGTGTTTCTATGAGAAACAAGCCCTTGGAAAGTCGGCGTCTCAAAGTGGATTAGTGCCAAGCCAGGGGCGCTGGGAATTGTTCGCGAACAGTACTACTTACAGCATGATAGTGAATTCGGTTTACATGCCTCTATTCTCACATTTAATGATACCACACAACCTAAATTATCTACAACGACTCACAGGACGCATCTTCGGCCAAACCAAAGAATCTCCCTCAATTAGCGGTGATAACCGATGATATTCACCAGTCTGAATTCCACGTTACTCTTATCCATGTCTATGACCGCACCCCAAACCCTTAAATCTGGGAAAAGTTCACAGCCGATTACAAGATATTGTTATAATGGGCTGGCCCAGGTCTTCCGCCTTCCACCTTCACAATGAAATTATTTACATTTGCTATGGTAGTAAGCTTAAGTACAGGTTACATATTTCCACCAATAAGGTTGTAAGGCGGCCGGAAATAAAACGCAGGGACAAACGAAATGAGATTAACTTTAATTAACCTAATGGTTGACATCTTTGTCATCTGTTGTGTTTCCTGCGGTTTTGTCGGCTTTTAATGCCCTAAATTCTACAAGTGCTGACATATCCTGCACCTGTTTCACATCAGCAATAGATCCTGGTCCTAATTCTGCAATACTATAGCTATTTAAGGGCCGATCCAACTGCTGCTTACGCCCAGTAAGCTCTACTATGAGCAGAGAGGTTGCTGCAATCTGACTCAGACAAGTCGCGCTGAGGTGTGGGTCGCGCTGGCTGAGCTGAAACGCCTCTACAGTAAGAGCGCTTATTGAAGGCGAGGGTATGGCTACCTGGTGTGCTTACTTCTTATTGACCTATCCACCTGTCAGTGTTGTGCACGTGTTGCGCAGTTAATATTAGAATTACTACGCAGCTTACCCTAGGTTATTAAAAGAGTGGTGATGTGTGAGAAATGGTATATATTACGATCCACAAAATTTATCTAACGACAGACTCTACATTTTTCGATTTCCTCTCTCAGCAACCGACAAATAACACAAATATTAACTAAGACGATGCGCTTCCAATTATCCGAAGTCCATCATGACGCGGACGAATTCGAGGAATTAGTTGCCTGCGAGGTAGCGAGCTTCGAGCATCCCCAACAATCAATCTTTAGATTTTTCTACCCTATATTTGGCCATGAATCTGAGGTGGAAAAGCAAACAGCCTTCCGAAACCTGGTCGAGCTGCAACGCCAGTGGTCTCGCGATGACCCTGACATAGTGTGGATCAAGGCCATTGACACACAGAATAACAACAAAGTCGTCGGCGGTCTGCTGATGAAGGTCCACAAGAAGAGCCCTCCTGCTCAAAAGGACGACGACGAGCATCAGTCTGCCTTCTGGTATCCTGCCGGTAGCCAACGGAAGTATATCGACGAGTGCCTGCGCATATTTACGGCACCGCATGAGAAATTCATGCGGAGGCCGCATGTCTGTAAGTTCTAGCCGAGAGGAAGTTTGGAAAGTTAGAAAATAACGAATTCATAGACCTATATATTGGCTTTGTCCTCCCGGAATATCGACAGCAAGGAGTTGCGGACATGTTGCTCGCTGATGCATGTCGCCGGGCAGATGAACTCGGAATAGAAGCGTGGCTTGAATCTGTGGTGGCTATGGGTGTTCCGATCTACATGAGACACGGCTTTATTCCCTTCCGTAAGCACGCGGTAGAGCCACAAGCTGAAAGACCAGATGATGAATGGAAGGATATGGAGGAGAAAATGCAACCGCTGCGGTTTTGGCCAATGTGGCGACCTCCCCATGGCAAGTTTGTCCCTGGGGAGACAAGCCCACCTTGGAATGAATTTATGAGTGGCATGTTGAGCAGGCTGTAGCTCCTACCGGAATTCCTCTTTTCAGTGGATTAAGTGGGCCTAGTTAATATAGGTTGAATGGCTATGCTATCGTGAGTGAGAATGACTACTGCCAGAGCCGAGAGTAACAGTTAAGCCTCTGAAATATTACCGTCGTCGACTTCGGTGAACATATTCAGAAGCTGTTCTGATGCAGCTAACTAGACTCGACGCAGTCTAGCTCCTTCTTGAAGCAGGCATGTGTCGATTAATATTGGACGGCCAGCGCTCGGAACGGCCGTAGCTTAAGTGTCATCCTAAGGTAAGATTCAGCCAGCCATCGACTACACTGACGCCGAATCTGACCATGCGGCTCACAATGACTTATGAGAATATATAATAGTTTAAAGTTCCCAGGGGACTAGCAATTCAGGCCGCGATTGAAACTACCACTTCAAAAAACCATGTTCACCGAGCTTTCTGCAATAATTACATCCTCCTTTCTAGGCCCAAAGCCAGGCTCCTCCTATATCGAGGATGACTATTCAGACATTGTTAGGGATCTGAGAAAATGGATTATGTCAGATTCAAAACGGAGGGACGATTTTGAAGTCGCAATCATCACAGCTCATTCACACAATACAGCTGAGATGCAGGATATCCAATGCCTAGAAGATTACTTTCGATTTATCAACAACCAGCTTCATTGGATACCAAGTGAAGCTGCACAACCCAAGGACATCCTCTCTCGGATATGTAAGGTGTGGTTTGTTCTTGACCAGCCTTCTGTTGCTGCTTATCAGGGCTCAACTCGGCCATCATCTGAGCCGGAAAATAGCCAACGTGACAAACTCACCTGGCTCTCGAACTGGATGGTGCGATTCAGTAAGGGGATTGGGATGTTTATGGATTCATCTGCTTCCGCAGGGTCACTGGATACATTCAGGGCGAGCCCTGCGTACAATATAGAAGACTACATTGAGCCTCGCGGAGGATGGAGGACGTTTAACGAATTCTTCTGCCGCAATGTCAAACCTGGTCGACGCCCCATTGCTGCCATTGGAGACGACTCAGTTTTGACATGTCCCGCCGACTTCATGTTTAAAGAACTTCATCCTGTCTCGGCGGATTCCACCGTGACCACAAAAGGCTTCAAGTGGCGGATCGCTCAACTGCTCAATGATTCGCTATACAAGGAGCATTTCGCCAATGGAACATGGTTGCATGGTTTCCTAGACGTGAACGATTATCACCGGGTACATGCACCCGTCGGTGGTACAGTCTTGGAGGCTCGAACAATTGTCGGTCGAAACTATATGCAAGTCTATGCTACAGCCGGACAACCGAACCTAGTCGGTGATACCGGCTCAGTACTTAGTGTCCGCAACGAGACAGGTTACCAGTTTTGCCAAGCTAGAGGCCTGATTGTGCTGGATACAGGCGCTGGTCTGGTTGCCGTGTTGCCTGTCGGTATGGCCATGGTATCATCAGTCATCCTCACTGCAGATGTTGGCGCACAACTGCATAAAGGTGAAGAGCTGGCGTATTTTCAATTTGGAGGTTCTGATGTCGTTCTGATCTTTGAGGAGAGGCTGAAGGTAGACGTTACTATGGAACGGGGACAGCATTACAGAATGGGCGTGAAAATCGGTCATTGCAGGTGTTCTTAATTTTGGGTTGGGACCTTTAGGAACTTCACATCCAGCGACCTTTTAGAAAAGGTCCTTAATCAATATTGCGTTCTCTGTCCGAATTCACTACATAGTCGTGGCTTACCAACCCATACATAGATGCCACGCTGCCAAGAGTTCGTAGGATTTGCATATATAAGTGCTTCAGCAGCAGCAGCATCCCATGCAGGAGCTTGGATCACTGCGGAGCTATCCATATTTGCAATCCATGTATTTTTGATACTGAATAAGACGCATCTGCTGATATACAATAAGATGTCTTTGGGATGACCATGGGGGATTCGTGTGATACGCCTAAACCCAAGCCAATGGCCAAATATTTACATGCGAACTCTGATCTTTCAAATACTGATCTGCCGGCTGACTGTCCTAGACCCCGAGTGTCTCCCATGTCAGCTCAAAAATGTATCCACAACTGATGAGTTTGCTAAACTCGATCCATCTGCTGCAATGGCCTCTGCAAAAGACTGAGGGTAGTAGCTAGAGCCGGCATACTTAGTCTCAAAGCCTTGACTGTATATTACATCCAAAGGTATGAATTCATCGGAATGAGGGGATGCGGCATAGATTCTCCACCAGTCGACCTCCGTGGCTCCATTCCAGCTTACCCAGAAGGTAGTTGCTGAGTTTGTGGATGCGCTGTATGCCTGAAGGGTAGGAGGATGGCTTGGTTGTGCAGTCCAGTTCCACTTAAATGCACGGTAATTCTGTGCACCTGGAGATGCTAAGGTGGCAAAGAATATTGCAGTGCCGTCCTCAGTATGTTCCGAAATCGAAGGGTTGCTGCCCCATCCGATAAACACGTTCTTGTTTGGCAATATTTGGGTGTTTCCCTGGCTTATTGAAAGTAGACCATTGCCCGGGGCATTGAATTGTCTGATCAATGTCGAGGTGTTCGTACAGTGATCGATGGAGATAATCATCCCTGACGAAGTGGATGATGTGTATATATGCTGATTGGATCCATTATCAAAGAAAGAGAGAATTGTCGTGGTCTCATTCTCCTCCCGAAAACGGGCGTCATGTTGAAAGGAGAACTCGTAATCTGTCAGTTGGAAAGAAGATTGAGTGCCGCCCAGTTGCCAGATAATGGACCCATCCTGGCCGGAAATCTTGTATATGCAGCTGGTATGTCTTGCAGAGACAAGGTAGTCGCCTTCATGATTCTTATCAACTGAATTAATGTGAAAATAGTCCCAAGCGCTACCATTAGTCAAGCCATCACCAACCACTCCATCTAAGTCCAGAGAAGCAAGGCTAGCCGAAAGGGGAACGTAGTCAAGCGAGTTCCACTCAAACAGGACCTCTCCTGTCTTTATATCAATCTCTTGGAAGACGCCGCCTATAACCCAACCAATTTGAGGATCTATGCCATATGCGTCGAGGTCATAGGGCAATGTTTCATATATTGTTATGAGTGCTGTCTTTCCATCAATGACTCTCATTTCATGCAAATCGCTTGGAAGCATGCCGTCCCCACTGTCCACTGTGGCTTTTGGTTGGTAAGTGTCGTCCAAGATCGTATGGTGACCCCTTGCATATCCCTCGGTTTGAACTCCTTGATAATAGCAGAGGTGGTCTGATCCATCATAGGGGCACACGTGGAAGTTATGGAAAATATCAGTGACAGAGCTATTTGCCCCGCTCCATACAAGGTTCTAGACAAGTCAGCGCTGTTGAGACATTGCAGCAGGGTAATGCACAAACACCAAAAGTGTCATAGATATAGGGCCCTGGCATATTTACACCATATGGGGCGAGAAATATATAGCCTGGGCTAAGAAGACGCTCGTTTTCTATGCTGATATTGAGAACTGGGGCGCGGATATCCGGCCGCTTGTCCAGTCGAATTATAGTTAGCATACTCTCCGGACGACTCCTAATGGGAGCTTTCACTGACAGACTGGAAGGTCGTCCAATTTGCGCAATTTATCACCCCAACAAATGTGAAGATCCAAACAATCCCCAGCAGATCTTTCCTAAGAGATACTAGGTTGCTGTTCTGGTTCGAAGCCATGGCGACTTGGTTACATGAAATCACTGCCCTCGGCCATAAGTGTCCGGCGAGTGCCGAAATGACTTGATAGTGTAAACAGCTGTAGGCCTATAAATGATTTGAAGAGACAGCCCAGAGCATTAATAGGAACGGTTTATGGTTGAGCGGCAATAAATCTTTCGATTCTACTATTACGTCATGACGTAGATCCTTAAACATGAATCTATATCAGCTGGACCACGTAGCGTGGAACAGAGATATGGTTTAGAATGAGTCCGGATTGTTTCTGCATTTTCTAAACTTTATTTCACGTTCCTAGGTTGTAAGGACACGTGGGAAGTCCTCACGAAATTGGGTGGCCATTATTTCTACAGTACAAGTCTGAAAAATGCTCTGTAAGCTACATAACAATGACCACTTACTTTGGCCCCTCAAAACAGGCGGCTTCGTGTCTGCATGAGGGACGCAGTCTGAAATGAGGTCATATTCAGTGACAGCCAGTTGAAAATAAGCCTAAAGCAGCCAAACTTAGGATGGGTTTTAGGGAATCGACGGGCCATCGTACTATTGGCGGGGAGTTCCAGATTTGTTCGGTTCGGAGCCCGATTGACTTTCCCAGATTCCATAAGTACACTGTCCTCTTCCCCGTCATGGGACACCCTGCGGATGCACTAGACGCCCTAATAGGTCTAGGGACTAAGATTAGGTTTGTGGTTATCAGCGACACTTTCGAGAATATTTTGGTGCGGTGAAAGCCAACGTTGGTTACATTAGTGGGCGCATATGACCTCATCACTATAAATCCTTGATTTCCTTTCAACTTATTTTTCCTATACTATGGCTGGTCCATACTGTAGGCAGTCTCTCACCGTTAATGGCATCCCGCAAAGCAAATAGAAGCAAAGGATATGTATTACATAGCAGTATACTACTTCTCTATGCTATTTAGCTAAGCTTTTGGTGTAGCGTTCCCGCTCGTTCATAACTGTAAATATACTATACTGGCGCTCTTCAGTCTATATGCAAATGAGCTGGAGACAAAGAATTGGCTATTCTTGCTACATTGGAAATTTTCAACTTGTATACTGTGATGTTTCCGTATAATCCTCACTAGTTCACGCTGACATCTGGCTTATGCCAGAACTAATTTATTGACATACTTTTATTCGTCCTTCCTCCTCCTTCCCCCCTGGGGTACTGCACCTACTAGACTTCAATATTAATATCTTGACCCGCTTCCTCCTTATATTATTATAGAAGTAACATGGAATATATTTACAAATCAGGAAACATATGATCAATTAGCTGAGTGCCACTAACGTCTTTCAAGGCAACGCAAATCAGTAAGGTAAGTGCCAAACTCCCAAGTGATTTGTGCTGTATTTGAGTCCTATGTAGCCTCACAACCACATCTAAAAAGTAACAAAGATAACTTCTGAGGACCTTCGCAGATGCCAGGAAATTATACAAGAGCCAATCCATGCAATAGTGAAGTGCACCTTCAGACTTACATCCTACAGATAATCCCCAACATCAGAAACACAACCAATCGCCTCTGCCTATTGCATTGTCAATATGTAATGAGACATCGTTTCAGTGGAAAGAACATACTGCACCCACTGGCCTATCGGCTCCCTTCACCCAGAACATATTTCCAGTCATGTACAAGCCACTGCGACGTTTGTAGAAAATCCACTTGAAGCGAATCGAAATCACTCACTTGTATTTGCAAATGGAGTCGACATGCGGATTATTCCCCTAACTTCCAATCCTATCGCCTGAGTCGCAAACATATCTATAGCACGGGGTCTGTGAGTTCTTCCTGCATCTATTCTGGCGTCTTTTAAGTACTCAATGTACCTTGTCTCAGATGATAGTAAAGCTCTACTACGACGAGCTTCGTCACTCTACTGTGGCCCGCCAAGCATGTCTAGCATGTCCAGGCTGCAGAGTCCAGGGCATAACACGACTCTTGAAGCCCATTCTAGGCTTCTGATCACGCCTTCTCCATTGTTGTTGAGGCCGTCAAGGCGGATAGAGGGCAAGCGGAAATGTCGCCAGAGAAGAATTAGGCTTGGCAAAAAATCGGGCCTTGGTGCTGAGAAGTAAGTAAATAAATGCTTTGCTCTCTGGTTAGCCTATGGACGCAAAAATAAAATAGTTGTCAGTTCAAATAAGCTCAACCTTATTGTAGATCGACTATTGCCAAGCCTCTAGTGTCGGCAGATCAGCAGCCGGCGGGCTATCATTGCCTCATGGCCATGACTGCATTGTACGTATTCAGCATTAGCATTCTGGGTTGTGGGGACTATCAATATTCTAAGCAACTGCAAACTCATGTATATAATACCACTTCGCTCTAAACCCAGTTAGATTAATTAGGAGGGCCAGGAGGATTTGGAATCCTGCGGTATTAGCTAAGTTGCTCACACCATAAAATATATCTAGTTCGAGCGCCCGTAAGATAGCGCCATAAATTTATTTAAATCACTCTTGACTGGGAAATCTTGAACTAGCAGAATGAAGCATGCCTATCTGTAGCAATGTCGCATAATGTTCATCCTTGGAGGACTTGCTCTTTTTACTTACCGCTCATGCGTCATATGACTTTATGACTACCTACTATCCTGACGTCTCTGCTGCGTTGCAGTTCTATGCTCGAGCATAGCCACCTTCGGGCATGTTAATTGGACCCAGGGACGTTTTGAACTTGTCCTTTACCAAATGGATACCTCTGTAGCTTAGGAAGAACCAAGTAGTTTATTCTAATCTTTTAAATTTCCGCGTTTTCCTTGGCTGTTATACCTTCATAGAACCACAAGATAAATCTAGCATCTCATAGCCTGTCTAGATGAATTGGGATTCTTGACTACGTACTCTAGAGCCGATAAATTAACCTGGTATAGACGCACTGCATGAAATGGAGAAGTCGCTCCCATGCACGAAGGTCTCTGACGCCTTCCTGACGGTCAGTTGTTCAACATTAAGCAATCATGACCAACTCTCAACATTACTCAATATATGCATCGTAGTTATATCTTCTCCTAGGAACCCCACTAAGAGAATGGTCGTCGACATATCCTTCTGAGTACTTTTCACCATGAAGTACGTTCCCCTACTTTGGTTGGCCCTCGCGGCCGGAACACTCTCTGAGCCATTTCAAGTCCCTTTTCAGGCTCCTCCAAGCAGCACAGCCCACAGCACAATTGCGCCAGAGGCCACAGGTGTCATCAGCAATCCTGAAAAAGTAGCAGGTCAGACATACGACTATATAATCGCCGGGGGAGGTCTCACAGGTCTCACGATCGCTGCCAAGCTTCTTGAGCACCGGGACAAGTTCAAAGTTCTGGTGATTGAGAGCGGATACTATGGGTCTGAATACGGTCCCATCATCGACGATTTGAACGCATATGGTGAGATCTTTGGCAGCAGCGTTGACCATGCCTATGAGACCAGCCCCCAGATCCACAAGCGGGTTGAGATCATTCGGTCCGGCAATGGCCTCGGAGGGTCCACTCTTATCAACGGCGGAACTTGGACACGTCCACACAGAGATCAGATCGATTCCTGGGAACATGTTTTTGGAAATACTGGCTGGAATTGGGACAACCTGAAAAAATACATGGACGAGATTGAGAAGCCTCGAGATCCAACAAAGGACAAGGATGTGACCGAGGGCCATCACCACCCTTACGAGCCGGGCTGCCATAACTCCAACCATGACAAGGGCAAGGTAGAGGTTGGCGCGCGAGATCGAAAGACCAATTGGTCGCCGCTTATCTTTGCGCTAATGCAAACAGTCAACGACACCACTGGCGCCCCATACCAGCAGGATCTCTGCTGCGGTATTCCCCACGGCGTGTCCATGTTCCTCAACACCCTGACCAAGGGACAGGTTCGCACGGATGCTGCGCGGTCGTGGCTGGAGCCTGTGCTCAACGACAAATCGGCAAAAGCCCGCCTTACCGTCCTGACCGGCCAGCTTGTGGGCAGAGTCAATCTCGAGCCAACTGAGAAGGATGGCCCAAAGTACACAGCGACGGGAGTTGAATTCGGCACCCACCGCAAGAAAGGCTGGAGGTTCAACGTCAGGGCGAAGCGCGAGGTTCTCCTCGCTGCTGGATCGACTATCTCCCCTCTGATCCTGCAATATTCAGGGATCGGTCCGGCTGATGTGCTAGGGAACCCTAAAGTAAACATCGAACAAAAGATCGATCTTCCTGTTGGCCTCAATATGCAGGATCAGACCACAACCTCTGTCGTCGCACGGACCACCCCGGAGGGCAATGGGCAGGGTCAAGTCGCGTACTTTGCAACCTTCGCGGAGGTGTTCGGGGAAGATGCGGAGTATTACAAGTCGCTCGTGAACCACAACGCCACACTGCGCGAATGGGCCGCCGAGACCGTTGCCGGAGGCGGTTTCCACAACCAGTCCGCTCTGTTTCTTCAATATGTCAACTACCAGAATTGGCTGCTGGGCAAGAACAACGTCTCCTATGCGGAACTGTTTCTTGACACAGACAACCATATCCACATTGACCTGTGGAACCTGCTGCCCTTCACGCGGGGATACGTCAAAATCCTCAACAGCGACCCCTACCTGCGTAGCTTCGAGTATAACCCCCGCTATTTCCAGAACAAGCTCGACCTCTACGGGCAGGCTGCGGCGTCGAAGCTCGCGCGTAAGCTGACCCGCTCCGGGAAAATGGGAAAGTTCTTCGGCGAAGAGACGGTGCCGGGGGAGTTGCTGCCCGACGACGCGAGCCTGGAAGAATGGGCCCGCTATGCGAAGCAGAACTTCCGTGGCAACTATCATGGTGTTGGGACGTGCAGCATGATGAAGAAGGAATTGGGGGGTGTCGTGGACGAAAATGCCAAGGTTTATGGAGTTAAGAATCTGCGCGTGGTTGATGGCTCTATTCCCCCTACCCAGGTGTCTTCGCATGTGATGAATGTGTTCTATGGTATGGCTGTGAAGATTTCTAAAGCGATCCTGGATGAGCATGATGAGAGGAAAGTAAGTGCATGTAAACTGTGGTTACGTGAAGCTTGCTGATAGCAGGTTACAGAGGGAAGACTCCTAGTCAACCGCTGGCCCAGGCTGACTTGAAATAAAAATCTGGGGGACAGAGAATAATACAGCGATGGTAGTCAAATTCCCGTCAACATACTCCCAGTTCAGCCTGGCTGGCAAAAGAAAGTCCTTTAAGCTGGCATCCTCAGGTATAAGTTTATTCATAGGAAAACACCTACTGGCCATGAAAATCATATTATTATAACTATCATCCTATAGAGATCAGGTGCTATGCTTCTTTATGAGTTTATATACTCTATAGTAGCGTACTTGAATCTCCAGTGACGCCTTCAACCGTGGTTTTAACTCTCATGTCTAAAGTTGAATGGTGTTGCTATTGCTCATATCATTCCTCAAAGGTAGTGTGTATCCCTCCGAATTACCTAGTTAAATGAAGAGGAAACGAAGCAAGGCAATAGCTTACAGATGATTGAACCCATTAACAAAGCCAACTGCCCTGATCCTTAGGGTTGCAGGAAATTGACACCTCAGATATCAGGCATCAATATCATCGAACCCTAGCCCCAAAGGGTAAGGCTGTACAATCAGGCAGCTGACAATTATCGTCAGCAATTCATCCCTGAGACTATGAACAAATATAATATCAACAAATGTATCCAACTCATCATGTCTGATCCTCTCACCCTCATCTCCAGCAGGTGCTTCCATCGCCGCGTCATTCTCGACACAGCATATGGCCCCCTCCCCGTCACATTCGCCGACATAGGCTGCACCACAGGCCCCCCGCTGCTCTTCCTGCCGGGGATGTTCGGCTCGCGCTATCTCAGCATCCCTATGCATGTAATCGCAGAGCGTGCTGGCGTGCGCCTGCTGGTGGTCGATCGGCCTGGAATGGGCGCGTCGACCGATGTACCACTCGCTCAGCGCATCGCCGTCTGGGTCGATATGCTGCCACGCCTGCTGGCCCATCTGGGTATTCCGCGCGTCAGCCTTGTTTCGCACAGTGCCGGAACCATTTACCTGCTCAATACCTGGGCGAATTGTCGCGAGATTATGAGCCCGGTCATTACGTTCTTAGGTATTTCAACCCTACCATTCTCACTTTTTTTGAAGACCAGCGACAAGAAACAAAATACAGAGAAAAGAGAATGAATAGCTCAGTATGCTGTTATAGCTCCGTGGGTTGATACCGCCCACTCGCGCGTTACAGCGATGCAAATGGCCCAGTACGTGCCCACCAAGGCATTCGCAATGTGGCACCTCATCCCACGCTTCTTCGTGACGCAGGCTACCCCCGCGCTGGCGGCAAGCGGCGCTGTGGTCCGACGAGTGTCATCATGGAGCAATAGCAGCGAAGCAGCGAAGGACCGCTCATTCCTCGATGCCAATTGGCAGCGTGTCGAACGTGACTATGGCGTGCCGTACGCTGAACAGGCGGAGCTCGCTCGCCTCGCCCTCCGGTTTATGTATGAAGAGAACACCGTCGGGGCCAACAGCGAGGCCTTGCAGTGTCTTCGGAAGGGCGATGGTGGCTCATGGGGAGAGTGCTCGGATTATGCTCACTGTGTGCAGACGCTGGCGGCCCGTGAACGGTCCGCGGGTCGCCGGGTCAGTGTCCGGACGTTCTTTGCTGCCAAGGATGCCTTGGTGGGCAGCCGGGGACAAAAGTACTTTGAGGAGTGCTGGCGGGCACCGGGGTTGGAGGCTATTGACTATGTCTCCACGACGGTCGATGGAACGGATCACGATACTCTGGTGCAGTCGGTGGAGGTATGGGAGGAGATATTCTCTTCCGTACAGTAGATGTTCAATGAACTTATGATGCGTTGGCCAGATTTTGGCTGCTTATGACTCTACATATACAACTCAATAAGATGGTACGAAACTGTCAATCCTTGTTGATAGTATCGTACCGATATGAAGAGACGATATCGCCAAGGCCAATACAGTGGGCTAAAGTGCAGGAGAGTACTCTATTTAGATGGACTCATCTACTTAATGTTTGTGTCTAAATGCACACTACTCAGTTTTATGAAGTGATAATAGATTGAGAGGGGTTTCTTGAGTATAATACATGCGAGTGGAGTTCTTATTTTACAAGTACATAGGCCCATCATAGGCTAGAACAGATCAAAGTTGCATCCAGCGCTCATCAACCTGTTTGAGGAGTGCGCAATGATCAGACCATTTATCCTGGAATGGTTCCAGAATAATCCCACGCTGCTCAACAGCGTGATACAGCTGTTTGCACGCATCCTGCGCATCTCGAAGTATATCCTCCGGTGCCGCGACGAGCTCCCTTCTAGAGGTGCCTTCCTTTGCAGCCTCATAGTGTAAATCTAATACGAAACTCAGTCGTTTCAAGTTTGGTAGAAAGTCCGAAGACGCAAAGGCCTTCACCCAGTTGGCCCACTCGCTGGACCTGCCAAGCGACGCGGGACCTCGAAAGCGCAGTGTTGAGAGATTCGGGGGAAACAGAGTGTACAGTGTTGGGAGGAGGTTTTCATCCTTGAAGATATCGCCCACGGAAAGAACAAAGGTCCTCAACTTTGGAAGCTCTGGAAGAAAACACGCAAACCACTCTTCAGTCGTAAAGTGGAAATCTAAGCCACTGGTGGAGCGGATGTTGAGTGTAGACAGGTTCTCTACGACATGTGGAAGAGCAACGGTCATCCGGTTGAAGGTATCGATAGCGTCGTTTTCGAATATTTCCAGCTTCTCCATCTTCGATGATACTTCCGTCGGAAGAAGCGGTAAGTCAGTGTTGGTGATCAGTGGCGGCGTCGCGCGCGTCCCGGCATACCGCTCATTCATTGATTCTGCGACGAGTTCCGGAAGGAATACTAGCTCAATCTTCTTCTGTTCGGGCGTTCCTTCGCGGACAGTCATGTACTTGGCCTCTTTTTCTCCGCGGGAAATCGCCTCCTTGTTCGCACGATACAGCTCAGCGCTGGTCGGCCCTTCAAACCGTAGTCCAGACGTCAGTAGCAGAACGAGATGCTTGACTCTTCCCTCGAGAACGAACGGACTGCGAAACACTTCTGCACAGGCGTCGCTGACAAGAAGCCGTTCCAGCGGCCAGTGTGTGGGTAGTTCCGCATCAGTCAACTCCTCGTTGAAACCCGTGCGCATCTCAAGATCTTTGATATTGCTGAAGTGATTGCCAAGCATTTCCCATTCAACATCAGACGGCGTATCTTCCGTAATTTCGAGAAACTGGATGTCCCGTGGGATCTTTTTCAGTTGTGCAAGAAGGAGGTCTCTGTGGTCAGCGTTTTCGGTTTCGTGCGGGCCTTTGACCTTAACCGTGAACCGACGGCTGTCAGAGTGATTTGATTTCATACTGAATTTTTTTCGCTGGGATATATTCCGATGTTGTGGATTATTAGTTGCTATCGAGATTCCGGGGACTCGCAACCGGCTAGGTGCGAGCCAGGGGACTCTTGTGGGTGATGACAGGAGGCCAGAGCAGACTATGCGCCTGGACCAGAGCTATTCCTAGGTCAGGAATTTTTTCTTGCCATATTATAAAAAAGGCAAGAGGGTATATGTACCATAGTGTTAAGAGGACAGCCGTTGTCGGTTTGTTTACCCTTCGTGAATTAAGGTTATGAACTGCCTCCACTTAGCGTACCTTGGGTAGTTGCGAGATCCACAGCTTTTAAGTCATGACTCTTGGCGATTGATTTTCATCAACTCTCATACCGGGCTTAGAGGATTATGGAATTGTTCCCCCACGCGAGCAATCCCCAGTAGATGAGAACAAAAGACCGAGCTCGAACACACGGCGCGATTCTAGGAAGCACACTGGGACCAGCGGTCCAAATAAGGTGCGGCGCCGCCTTGACCCAGATCGCTCACGTGAGATGTGCGTCCTGTAGCCGGGAATTGTGACAGATAAACTGGATGTGGGACTCGGACTTTGACCAAGACATGATGACATGAGCTGGAATGGTCAGAACAACACGCAATTAACTTTCAATCGCCGCTCCTGTTTGCTCTACGGTATAATATGAACCCGAAGTATATCAAGAATACCAAGAACATAGCCACTCCCTTATCAACGAGCACGATGAATTTGAAGCAATCACACAATAGATACAAGCTCAATAGCACATGCTATACCCAGAACGCCTCATGCTATGCAATATCGAAACGCCATGCTGAATCCAATAACCAATAAGCCACCGGACAGAGTATAGCAAGCAAAACAATTCAATCCAGAAAATATAGCGGAACTGCAGCAAGAAGCACCAGCCTCGGACTATGCACGAAGTTGGCTGCCGGTATATACGCCCTCAAAGTCAAGTGCAGCCAGCATGCCATTGACCCGGTCTATCTCCCGACTCAATTCCTCGACATTCATTGCAAGGCTGCTGACCTCATCAAATTTCCGACGTCTATTCGCATCCGCAATCATTTCCGATACGAAGAATTTCTGTTCTTCTAGGACGATAAGGCGTTCACGCAGTGCTTTCTCCTCTGCTTCCAAAGCGGAGACGGCACTACTCGTGTCGCTGGCTAGACTGGTATTGCTCCCACTAGCAGCAATACCGTTATACTTGATAGACGCGAGTGCCGACTCTCTTGGTCGCTGATTACCTCCTGCATGATTAGGCGGAGTCCCAATTGAGTTGGCGGGGCTTATAGGTCGCCCGTTCGGTGTTGCGTGCTTGAGAATCTTGGGCAAAGCTTTCAGCGGAAGCATGTGAAGGTGCAGGAAGTTAGTCGCTTGCTGATAGATGGCCTTTTGAAGCCGCTGTTGTGTTGGTGAGTCGGTTGGCATATCACGAATACGCCTGGCTGCAACATCATATTGGGCGAAGGAATCAGTAAGTCGTTTCCGAACTTTCGAAGCTTCAGCAATATGGGCCGCAGAAGGTGGTCGCCTTGGGTCTCTGATAAGAAAGTATGATGTTAGATATAGCAGCGATGGTTTAGATTTGCAACATACTGCAGAGTTGTGAGGAGCCTCTGAAATTTGGGCAAGAGCAGCCGAATGCCCCTCTCAAACTGGGCCAGATTCTCGTATGCTCTGACGTCCGGAGGTCTTCGCATGATATCTGCTTGAAAGTCTCGTCGGTCAAATAGGGTCGATTTACACTCCTTGCAAAGCCTTATGTCAACATTGACAGCACCTGCAGTCGGCGTCTTTTCTCCAGTAGCCTTGGCCACTTTATGCAATTAGCGAAAGATGACAACAATCCAAATGGGACCCAAATGGGACAACATACAAGGCGTTATACTAAGAGGAACTTCACTGGAACATCCAGTCGCAGGGTCACCGCACACGACCCGCCCGCAGGTTCGGCAATGGTGTCTGCGAAAGGTATAACTGGTGAACTCCTGCTGGCAGAAAGGACACCGAAGTACGCCAGAGTCGTCCTGCCAGCTAACAATAGTCTGCTCGAGCGCTTTCCGTTGATCGTTTTGCCATGAGATTGGCCAACGCTTTCCCCCTGATTGTATCTGATCCGGAGGTAGACTCGCTAATAGCTGGGTGAGTCGTGTCAATCGCTTTTCCAGCCGAGAAATTTCCAGTGTGGCTTTGTCAACGGTCTGCTTCCTCACAGCCTTGAATTCGGCCATCCGGTCTCGAACCAGGCCTGATCCGAATTAGTATTGCCATGTCGCAATCACACAGGCTACAGACAACGTACCATTATGGTCATTGTACCCTTCCCTTGACTTATAACAAGTCTCACAAACCCTATACCACAAACCCCTCACAGGCTCATGCTGCGCCGATCTGGACAGTTTCATCTGGTACATGGTATGTTCCTCGCAGAAGAGCTTCCCACACTTGCGACAGTTGACGCAGCCATTGGTGGCATTCAGACGTTTCCCGCAGGACGGCTCCAGGCAGGTGTCATATAACCCCCTAACTTGCCAGTGATCCTTTGTGATTACGTCTTCGGGGTCCAGTGCTCTCGGTGGCTCGTTGTAACCCGGCTGGGGCCCCGCGGGCCGACTTGGACCAACGGATGGGTGATGGTTCTCGTTCGACTCGAAGACGTCCAGCCCTTTTAGTTTCTGATTCAATACAGCTAGAGGCTGAAAGCGCTTCGCCTTTTCCATCTGCACCTTGAACCAATCCTTGACTTCATCCTGCCGATCGTCTTCGAGGTTTTGATGTACGTCATCGAGGTGTCTAGAATTACTGTTAGGCACGCGTCGCGAATACAGCGCATCGAAACAAATACCTATTCAATTGCAAGAGAGTTACCTGTATCTCGTTAGTTCATCACAAGATGACACGTCTCCCAAATCACGGAGCCGGGGCAGGGGCTGAGGTGAGGGGTGTAGGCCATACCATCTCCTCACTGCAGATCGGACAAGCAAGCTGAGCTCCGGCGGCCGCCGGGGCCGCGGATATGGACGTCGCGCCATTTTCTAAAGAAATTCGGGAAGTGAGATCTTGCGTTTCGGATGAGAACTGGGAGGCGGAGGCCTGGGAATTGAGGGAGAGGCTGCTGGCGGACGGCGATAAGATGCTTGGCTTCTGTTGCGGAGACAGCGTCGATGGTGCTGCAGCGAGAGAGTTCGGAGTGCCCAGGACACGACCTCCACCCAGCGTCCTCCGGGACATGATTAGATGCGGGTTATGGGAGCATGAGAGATAGACCCGCGACAAGTGGTAAGACTGGGCGGGTATGTTGGCGAGCTTTGGGCGACAAGGCGATGATGAGCGTATCCTGCCTAGCTCAGGCAATTAGGCTGCGGAGCTCATTTGAGGGGGAAGTTACTAGCCTGAGGCAGGAAACTAATGCCTAAGGCGTTAAGGCAGCATTATCGCCGCCATCATATCATCACTACTCCTCTTGTTATTGCTTCAAGATTACACCCGCTCGTAATTTCAGAAGCAGACTGCTTTACTTTCTAATGTTTCAGGACTTGAATACGAGTTTGGGGTTCATAACGATCGTAATATTTTCTATATCGCTAAAAAACAAGACAAAAAACAAACAACAAAAGCAGATTTTTTTGTGTTTTTTCATCACTTTTTCAACTTTTTTTCTGTTTTGAAACCCCAAAGTTTTCTTTAGTTTTCAACTCCTCCACAGCAAATGCATATATACCAAGATGCAATCTCCCCTATGTACTGCCAACGTGTGCCAACACCCATCTCCATTCCTCCCAATCGCTATCCTCCTTGTCCCCACTGTCCTCCGAATCTCTATCGCTCATAGTCCCGGTGGTAGCTGGTCCCGGTATTAGGGTTGTCATATTCCCTATGGACATGGGTGGAGCCGTCATCGCGGCGGTCGACATCGCGGTGTCGATATGTACCGCTAGGATTCACTCTCTCACGGTGATGCCTCGTTGAGCCATCGGTGCGATAGTCCATGTGCTGGTCGTACGCTCCAGAGCTGGGATCGTAGGCGGTCGTGCCGTAGCCGTTGTCGTAGGTGGTGCCGTATGTGCCAGCGGTGGTGCCGTAGCCCCTGGTGCCGTAGCCAGTGGTCCCAGCTGTGGTGCCATAGCCTGTCGTGCCGGTCGTGCCATAGCCAGTGTCCGTGGTGCCGTAGCCGGTCGTGCCGGTTGTGCCGCCATAGCCAGTGTTGTCATAGGTGGTTCCCGTGGTACCGTAACCCGTTGTAGCGCCCGTCGTGTCATAGGTGTTGGTGTTACCGTAGGTGGTTCCGGTGGTATCGGTGTAGTCGGTCATGTTGGTTGCGTTGTGTTGTTGTCACAACTTGCTAAAGGCAATAGTTTACTGTTTTTTTAGCGGATATCGCAAGAGACTCAGCCTGATCGATACGCAGAATCTGATCTGATCCGGAAAAGACCAAACTCTCTCTGGAGCCTACCTCGGGCCTGCCTTATATTATCCCTCGTGGCGGTGGATAGCACAGCAATGATCCCTTTCTGACATCACGGGCGGCGTCAACACCTCAGCGGCAATGAGGCGCGACTGGCCGGAATCGAGCCCAAGGAACGCGTTCGACTCCGATATTCGTTGAAAATGCCTTCATTCCATTTCGGCACGCCTCCTTCCGTGGAAACGGATTTCTTTCCAGACCACCAGGCTGGTTCTGGACTCTGATGATGTATCTCGGAGCGGGCGAGAGGCTCGCAGGAGTCTACCTTGGCAAGAGCCACCACCAGAGATGTGATGAAATTCCCTATTTGGGCAGATTTGCGAGTCACGTTTTCTGGAAAGGATTAGAACGAGGTGGTACATGCAGATGTCAAAGGTGGCACATCGGGGTAAACACGAGCCGCACTGTTGTGCCACATTTGCATCATGCTCGAATATCATGTCGTTCTATGATATTCTGACAGTCAACGAGTTTCTATCTTACTGCCGAGTTGTGCTGACGAGGATTGCGATTCTTGCC